CCAGGCATGTGCCAGGACTAGAATCAAGCAATGACCTCCTGGTCTGCTGGAGGCTACGAGCAGTAGTTGGCATAACAAATGCGAGACGTTTGTCAGAAGGCTCATGGACATCTTCAGCAGGGCTGAAGATTTGCATATTATTACCTGCTGCCAAACAGCTGAGGGCAGTTCCCCTAACCCAATGGTCGGCAAACTGCGGCCCCTTGAGTGTGGCTCTTCCACAAAATACCACGTGAGGGTGCACACGTACATCAGGATTGAAATTTCGTGGCCATACTCAAGGGGCCAAAGAGCCGCATGTGGCTTGCGAGCCGCAGTTTGCCCTAACCTGATAATCCTTTATTGTTTACCAAACCTTACCTTTGATGTGTATATCTGCTTTGCTAAAGGGCAAAATCCTACATAATAAAAGGGTAATATGCAAAGTGACCCTAACAGCAGAACAACTGGGAATCACTGGTCACTATGACACACACTGACGACCAGGGAGCAGATGCTCAATGCAGGAGCTGCCCCCTGGTGGTCAGTGCGCTCCCACAGGGGGAGCTCTGCTCAGCCACAAGCCAGGCTGATGGCTGCCAGTACAGCGGTGGTGGTGGGAGCCTCTCCTGCCTCCTCAGCAGCACTAAGGATGTCCGACTGCAGCTTAGGACTGCTCCCTGCTGGCAAGTGGACATCCCCTAAGGGCTCCTGGGCTGCCAGAGGGATGTCTGACTGCCAACTTAGGCTCAAAACCCCGTGGAGCAGGCCTAAGCCAGCAGGTAGTTATTCCCCGAGGTGTCCCAGACTGAGAGAGGATACAGGCCGGGCTGAGGGACCCTCCCAAGTGCACAAATTTTTGTGCACCGGGCCTCTAGTGTGTTAATAAAAAGCTGTTGGTCCGGAGATTCGGGCAGCTTAGTCACTAGAGCTAAGTTTCCACCTGGCTTTCCCCAATGCCTTCGAAATTTATATTTCTTGTCTAGTCCTCTTCATTTATGTGCAGCCCTTCTCCAGATTCCTGAACCCGTGCTGCAAAGACTGCAGCAATGGATGACACTCAACCACTGAGCCATGCCAGGTGGGCTGTTTTTATTGATTTTTTTAAAGAAAGAGGAAGGAAGAGGGGTAGAGAGAGAGAAACATCAATGAGAGAGAAACATTAATCAGCTGCCTCCTGCACACCCCCTACCAGGGATGGAGCCCACAACCTGAGCATGTGCCCTGAACGGGAATAGAACCAGAGACTTCTTGGTTCATGGGTCTATACCCAACCACTGAGCCACACCAACCGGGCACATTTTATTTTCAAAATGTAATAGAATCAGCTGTTAAAGTGTGTATACATTTTTGGGAACATCCTGTATGTATGTATATGTGTACATCCTATATAATAAAAGGCTAATACGCAAATTGTCCCCACAAGTGGGAGTTCGACCGACAGAGAGTTAGACAGGTGCTGACCACCAGGGGGCGGTGAGGAACATGGGGGCATCAGCAACGTGGCGCTGGCAGTGGGTGGCAGTGCAGGTGTTGCCGGCCCTGATGGGCCCTGACAAGAGCAGGACCCATGGCAGGTGGTGGAGCAGGTGAGTGAGTGGGCAGCACCAGGCCAAGGCAGGTGCGAAGGGAAGCCCCGGCCGGCGCTGAATAAAACTTATTTTTTTTAATCCTCACTGGGGATATGTTTTCATTGATTTGAGAGAGAGAGAAAGAGAAACATCAACTGATTATCCTCATACATACCCTGACTGGGGATGGAACCTGAAACCTTGGTATATGCCAACTGGGAATTGAACCTGCGACCTTTTGGTATATGGGACAACGCTCAACCAATTGAGCCACATCAGCCAGGGCATGTAAAGCTTATTTTAAAAAGCAAGAGAGCCCTAGCCAGTTTGGCTCAGTGAATAGAGCATTGGCCCGAGAACTGAAAGGTCCCAGGTTTGATTCTAGTCAAGGGCCCATGCCTGGGTTGTGGGCTTGATCCCCAGTGGGGGATCTGCAGGAGGCAGCCGATCCATGATTCTCTCTCATCATGGATGTTTCTATCTCTCTCTCCCTCTTTCTTCCTATCTGAAATCAATAAAATAAAATAAAAAAATAAAAAGCAAGAGAAAGAGAGAAAGATTCACCAAAATGATCAGGATAGAGGCTACTTCTGGAAAAAAAGATGTAAATGTTTTGTTCCTTAATCTGGTGGTAGATAGAGTGATGATCATTGCAATAATATTCTTTAAAGTAAATATACATATCTGTTTTACATTTCACAATAATTAAGCCCAGCCGACTGGCTCAGTTGGTTGAGTGTTATCCCATGAACCAAGGAGTAGCCAGTTCAGTTCCTGGTTGTGGGCTCAATCCCCAATGGGCGGAGTATGTGGGGGGGGGCCTGCCAAATATATAGATGTTTCTCTCTCACATCAATGTTTCCATCTCTCTCCCCCTCTCTTCTTCTCTCTCTAAAATAAAACAAATCTGCCCTGGCCAGTTTGGCTCAGTGGATAGAGCATGGGCCTGCTGACTGAAGGGTCCCAGGTTCAATTCCTGTCAAGGGCAGGAAGTGGGGGGCGTGCAGGAGGCAGCCGATTGGTGATACTCTCTCATTACTGATGTTTCTCTCTCTCTCTTCTTCTCCATTTCTCTCTCAATCAATACAAATATATTAAATAAATAAATAAGTGGAACAATAAACTGACATCTCTGTCTCTTCCTCCTTTCCTCTCTAAAAGCAATCAATAAAAAAATTTTTTTAAAGAGAACAAGAAGTCCTTACTGTCGGACATTCAAGGGGATTACCACCAGACGTTATTAAACAAAATATGCCAATTCACATTTTCTCTCCCTAAAGGCCTTCTCTATTTATTCTTGCCAAGCCAATCAAGAGTGAATATAACCTGAAAGTCAAGCCACTAAGTGGCAACAAAGTTAGTAAGTTCCCCATTATTTAACCTGGTTCTCAAGATTTTCTTGATCCAACTTCTCAATATAAAAGGACACACAGCTTCTAAGAAATGCATTCATATCAAACAGAATTAGCTCCTGCCTTTACATTAAACAATCCGTTTTAAAAAGATGGAAAAGAACATTAATTTATACTGATCTGTTTAAATTAGCTACTTGAAACTTATCCTACAATGCCAAAAGGATTTTTACCCAGCAAGGCTTTTAATGGCTAATACCCAGAAACAACCAAAATGTCCATCAATAAGGGAATGATAAATATATTAGAATAGCCGAAACCGGTTTGGCTCAGTGGATAGAGTGTCGGCCTGCGGACTGAAAGGTCCCAGGTTCGATTCCGGTCAAGGGCATGTACCTGGGTTGCGGGCACATCCCCAGTAGGAGATGTGCAGGAGGCAGCTGATCGATGTTTCTCTCTCATCGATGTTTCTAACTCTCTATCGCTCTCCCTTCCTCTCTGTAAAAAATCAATAAAATATATTTAAAAAAAAAAAAAAAAATATATATATATATATATATATATATATATATATATATATATATATATATTAGAATACCTCCAAAAAATGGCATTTTAAAAATGAGGTAGGTTCACAGAACTGGTTCAGGAATGTGTCTTTATATTAAGCCAGGTGCCCAATAGTATTATGGTCTGATCCCCTCCTAGGGAGTGGAATTCAGGCTGTAATGGATGCAAAGTGAAGAAATAAGGAATTCTACCTTTATACTTTATATACTTTTATGCTGTATGGATTTTTTACTTGATATTCTTCTGTGGTGTTAAAAGAAATTTACAACCAGAATATGTGGCTGTAATCAATTAAAGGAGCAAGGATAAGCTGATAAGAAATGCTGTGGCTTGGACCCAGAAGTGAATTCAGGGAAGGCCAGCCAGTCAGGCTGCGGAAATCCGAGGGCAGAGGCTGGGTGGGGAGGGCGTGTCTCCGGAAGAGGAAGACCCCTCCTCCGCCTGCGCCCCGACACTACACCTGCTTTTCCAGCCGCACGACCTCAAAGTCAAGTCTGCTTTTCACTTTAAGACGGGAGCGCCACTAGGCTGCACTCCTGAAATAATGCAAACAACGTGGAATGTAAGCGGATTGAAGAATTTTAAAATGTTTAAAAAGAAGGAAGTCTTGCAACTCCATTGCCGGTAAGAATGTTTAACGTTTGTTCTACGTCTAAAGCTACGCGGTTGAAAGAAGGGGAGACACGGAGCGGCTGCGATGGTGGGAAAGAAGCGCCGGCCGGGGAGTAAGGGCCTGAGGAGGTGGCTGTTAAGAAGAGGGACTGACTCGACAAAAAAGACTTTTTTTTAAAAAATCATAATTAAAGAAAAAAAAAGATGGATTGAGGCCAGGTAGGCAAGGCTGATAGTGGACATTCACGCCTTGGAGAAGCGTAGACGCTGTGACATCCATTCCATGGGAGCCCCCCACCCCCGCGCACACACACGCACAGGCACACACGCACGCACACGCACAGGCACACGCACAGGCCCGGCTCACACCCGCCAGGCGTTACCTTTCAGGCTCATCCACTCGGCAGCCAGGTGTTGGCCGTAAACCCCGCGCCTCCCGCACACGCGCACTCACTCCTGGAATCTCGGCGGCTCCGCACCGGGCACCCCCGCCGCGCGGGCCCCTCTCCGGGGAAGGCCGACCCTGCCCTGCCGGGCGCCGCACCGACGTCGGAGAAGCGCCCCCGGCACAGACCCGGGCCCGGCACCGGCTCGGAGGGGCCGGAGGGGCCACGGAGCCCCGAGCCTCCCCGCGCGGGCCGTGCCCCGTCCTCCCGCCCGGGGAAGCCGGCGGGTTCGCCGCGCAAACCTCCCCAGACCCCCCGACCGAAGCCGCCATCCGACGGCGCGGCCACGCGGAGGTGCGACCCGCCGGGCCGAGCGCGGGTCAGGGCCCGAGGGGACGCGGCTGGGCCGGAGGGGGCGGCGGAGGCCCCCGCCCCGCAGGCCCGCTCCGCCGGGCACCGCCGCCCTCCGCAGGCCCGGCCCGGCGGCCTGGGCGCCTTCCCGCGCGCGGAGACCCGCCGCCCGCACTCACCGGAGTCCCCGCCGCCCACGCCGACCCTGGGGGCGCGCCGAGGGGGCCTGCGCCGCGGCCGGGCCGGCGGGCTCCGCTCCACTTCAGCCCCGGGGCCGCGGGCCGAGGGCGGCGCGAGGTGAGAGCGCCGAGGGGCGGGGCGCGGCGCCGTGCGCACCGCAGCGGCCAATCGGCGCGCAGCAAGTGGCGTGCCGGGGGCGGGGCGGGGCTCGAGGGGGCGGGGCTACGGCGTCGCCGCGGCCGGACTCGCTCGGTGTGACTGGCGGCCGCACACACCTGGCCCCACCGTGACCCGGCTGCCCCCGCCGCGTTTCCGCTCGTGCAGCGCCGGCTCCAAGTGCAGCGCCGGCTCCAAGTCAGCGTCGGTGAGGTCGCCGCCGCCCCTGCGCCCGAAGGGCCTCCCTTTGCCCTTGCCCGCAGCCCAGAGCCACTGGCCGTGACCTGCCCAGAGCAGGGCACTGCGCCCGGAGGGGCCTCGGGAACTGAGGCTGCACGGACGCCCTGTCCAGCCCCGCCGCTCGGACAGGGAGCCCGGGGAAGGGAAGCTGCTGGTCCCGACCTCTAACTAGTGCTGTGACCCGCATTGTCCCGCGGTACACCTGCCCGATGCCTTTCCCGGCCACCTGCCCGGACGTCGGCTGCCTTACGGTCAGCTCCCTCCCCACTGTCTCCTTTAAAGACACTTGCGTTTCCAGTATGACCTCCACAGCCTCCCAAAGCCCCTTCTGCATCTCCTCAGGCTGAAGAACACCACTTAGTTCAGCGGTTCTCAACCTTCCTAATGCCGCGACCCTTTAATACAGCTCCTCATGTTGTGGTGACCCCCAATTTCATTGTGACAAATTGCACATAATTAAAGCATAGTGATTAATCACAAAAACAATATGTAATGATATATGTGTTTTCCGATGGTCTTAGGCGACCCACAGGTTGAGAACCGCTGACTTAGTTGTTTGAGGAAGACGCCTGGTGTGAATCCCGGCACTATCAGTGGGACTACAGAGTTTGCACCTGAGGGATGATGAAATAAAAGGTTTTGTATCTCAAAGTGCCACCCCTCTACTCCCGTCGCTGCTGTAGACCTTAGCATGCATGCACGAGGAACAACCCCTACTTTTGTTATGCTCCCACTCAGTTCTCATTTTCATGGAGACTGTTATGTAGTCAATTGTCAAATAATACATTTATAGTTACATTATCTCTCATCTTGATACATGTGCTAGGTAGGATCTAGGTGCCCAATAAATCTTCACTTAATAAATTACTTTTGAAATATGTGCAACCTTAAAAAATTAAATTGCTGACCTGTAAAGGTTGGCTTTTTTAAAATAAGTTTTAAAATCTTGCTTCGGGCTCAGCCAGCATGGCTCCGTGGATGAGTGTCAGTTAACCTATGAACCAGGAGGTCACGGTTCAATTCCAGGTCAGTGCACAGGCCTGGGTTGCGGGCTCCGTCTCCAGAGCCGGGGTGTGCAGGAGGCAGCCAATCAATGAATGATTCTCTCTCATCATTGACGTTTCTATCTCTCCTTCTCCTTTCCTCTCTGAAATCAATTACATATATATATATATATATACATATATATATATATATATTTTTTTTTTTTTAAGACCTATATGGAGACCAATTCTTCAGTGGATAACATGGTGCAGGTGGGCCAGCAAAAGATGCAGTCATGAAGTAGTTAGTACCGGAAGCCATAGAACAGTTCGGTAGAGGGCCTTTGGGGACCACATAACAGAAGCACAATAGGTGACCCCAAAATTAAGCAATCACCCCCACATGCAATGTTTACGCCGTAGATTGTCATTGCACTTGAAGAGTAGCACATATGAAATATGTTTAAAACAATGTTTATTGATGAAGTTGAGACCTGTGTGTCCATTACATTAGTTATTTATTGCTATATCGCAAATCATCCCCAAATTTAGCAACTTAATACAGCAACCATTTATTCATTATTTTGCAGTTTCGTTTTTCTTTTTTATTTCAAAGAGGAAGGGGGAAGAAGAGATAGAAACACTGATGAGAGAAACATTGATCGGCTGCCTCCTGCGCACCTGCTGGGGATCGGGCCCGAACCCTGTGCCTGAGCCCTGACGGGGAACCGTGACCTCCTGGTTCATAGGCCGGCGCCCAGCCACTGAGCCACACCAGCCGGGCTGCACAGTCTCTAAGGTCAGGAGTCTGGGGGCCGCTTAGCTGAGTGGTTCCGATGCAGGGTCATCATGAGCCTGTGGTTAAACTGGCGGCTGGGGCTGCAGGCATCTGGAGGCTCCGCTCCCCCTGCGGCTCACCCCCTGGCTGTGGGCTGCAGGCCTCAGTGCTGGGCACATGCCTGTCCACACGGCTGCCTCAGACATGGCAGCTCCTCCACCCAAGGTGAGTGATGGGGGGGGGGGGGCAGGGAGGAGAGAGAGAGAGGGAGAGAGAGAGGGGGAGAAGGAAGCTTCGAGCCTCAGAGAAACGTGCCCTCACTTTGGCTCTATTCTACTGGTCACACAGACCAACTCTCAGACGTTGTGAGAGGGCGCCACACAGAAGGCGAATATCAAAAAGGGGGGGTTTGGGGGGTCACCTTGGGTGCTGGCTACGACACCAGCAGCTTAGTAATGTTTGGTTCGAAATGAAAGCGGCTCTCCAGGCTCCTCTGGTGCCTATTGCACCCACATCCCAGTGCAAACTGCAGGCGCATGTGCTGGTCCAGAGCCAGGAGCCGGGGGCCGCAGTCATGCTTTCTAAGATGGTGTGCAATTCCTGGTAAAATTCCCAAGAAAACGAAGGCAATTCTCATAGCCCTTGCCTTTGTGTGGGGGAAGGGGGATTCGTGTATATAAATTATGCAAAAAGCGTGCAGTGTTTATATACATGTAAATGTAATTCTCTTCTAGGCTGAGCTGGCTATAAACGCACTTTTCACCCACACTCATGTCTGGTGGGATGTTTGATGTTGGGCAGGACATGGAGAAAGCCCTCCTTTTGGTCGACTGCCTGGTGCATTGTGAGCCCCCTGCCTCCCTGGCCCCACCTCCCAAGTGCCTGTGGTCAGGGGTGATTTCAAAATATTTAACACCAATCAGAATAGAGACCAGCCAGCACCGCGTCCTGGTGGGATGGGTTAAACAGAACTCTGCGTCTCTAATCGTATGTTAGCTGAGGCTTTCCCCTCCCCCGCCCCCCCCCGCAATTTCCCAGAAGTCCTCTAGAGGGCAGTACGCCTCCGCTGACAACCACAGACCCCACCCAGCACCCCGCCTCTCCCGTTCCCCTCTAAGGGTTACAGCAACCCGGCAGGTTGCACCTGATTGCACTCATTTGCCGGATGAGGAAAGGGGCGCTCAGGAAGGCCCACAGAACCAGTGAACAGTGAACGGCCAAACCCGGATCTAAGCGCAAGTCTCCCTGGCTCCAGGCCTTCCGCTTCCCCTGCATCACACTGCCTGGAGCTCACTGGGTCAGGGTCAGGGTTTCGGAGAGGGAGAGGGAGAGAGATGGAAACATCAATGAGAGAGAAACACTGATTGGTTGCCTCCTGCACACGGATCTAGCCATAACCTGGGCATGTGTCCTGACGGGGAATCGAACCTGTGACCTCCTAGTTCATAGGTTGATGCTCAACCACTGAGCCACGTCAGCAGGGCCAGAATTAACAAGAATAATCTATGTCACAGTCAGTTTTTATACTGTCCATCTAAAAGATTTTTTTAAACAAGCATTTAGGTGGTCAGCCAAAAATACGGCTATTATTTTTAAAATCTTTACTGTTGAAAGTGTTCCATATGTCCCCCCTTTTCCCCCCATTGACCCCTTCTAGTCCGCCCCGCCATAGTGGTTATTGTTTTAGCTGTTTATGTAACTGTGGAGCATTGACTAATCATTAAAATTAACTTTATTAACATTTACAAACATAAAGTGTGCTGTGCTGAAATTAAGGATTTACCAGAGTTTTTTTTATCATTTCACCTTCCCATTATCCAATATTGAAAATGGTTTCCTTGCTATATGTTCCTTCAATGCAATTGGGTGTCACACATTGAATTCCCTTATTCGCAAGACTAACAGAATCATCGCCTTTTAAATGTTCTGGAAATTTTATAAAGCTGTATGTTGTACTGTCCACCATTTTGTTTAGAGTAATGCTATCATTCTAGAAGCCAAACAACTCATCAATAAAACAGTCACATCCTATAGCAATCAATGCCCCATCTCTAAGCAAAAAGGTCTGAATTTCCTTTTGAAGACGTAGTTTTGTTTTAACGATCACGTTTTACGGAACAGCTGTTGTTCACACAGGAGGCGGCCCGCGCCACGCTCTGCACCGCATCCAGAACGCAGCGCTGTGGGGTAGGCGAGGACATGACCTGCTCCTTGTGACCACGCCCCAGACCCTCGGGTTGCCCAATTCTGTGGCCAGAGCACTTACACCTCAGAAAGTCAGATTTTCTTAAAGTGGACGGGACACAACCATCTCACGAAGGTCAAACTCCGTGTCATTTGCCAAAGGTACATTCAGGCATATTGTCTGTTCACTGAAGGGTTCCTAAGACAGGAAATTCGAGCCCTAAGGCAGGAAACGGAGGTTTTCACGTGGCTGACAAAGGCTCTGGGGAGTCCCATATATGACAGAGACACACCTCAGGGACGTTTATGTAAACCTATCATTTCAATCTCTGAGGAGAGATGAAGCCAGAAGTGAAATCTTAGGTTCCCATTGAGCCCAAGGGCTTTCCACTCCTGGAGACCAGAACATGCACTGAAAGCTCTGACAGTGGACCCAGGGGTCTGTTTCTAGAATAGCTAAGTCACCAGCGTGGCCGGGCCATTTCTGCAGCCAATGGATGGTGAAGTTGGTCAGGAAAAAGTACAACCCAGATATACTTTTAAAATTCAGTGCCCACAGACCTTTATAAAGAAAAACAGTGACTCCAGAGGGTGCTGTCCTCATCTTAACGTTTCCGCCCGAGTGTCCCAAAGTCTTACAGCAGTTTTGAGCTTTGATAACCCAGCTGTCTACATGCTTGTTGAGGTTTATGACGTTTGATGTTTTTGGTTTGTTGTTGTTGTTGAAGTGCCTGTGTTTGAAGATGGCAAATGGCAACTGGTTTGAAGTTATTAGAGATTAAATCTGCACCACGACATCTGGAACGCCCTTTATGATTCGCAGCCCAAGTCCCTGTCCTAGCGCATCTCACCTGATGACTGGCGATTACACTTGGCAATGGATTAAATTGATTTCTTAGAGCGTCTCTTCTTTCCTTCTCACCCAGAGCAAAGCTGGGTGGCATTTCTGTGACAGTCTCTCCCAGCTTTCTCCTCACACATCAGCAGAGCCGTGGTCGGTTTTGTGAAAAGTACAGCACACAGTTCTCAAACTCCTGTGTGACGGCCATACGCCCCGGCCTCTCTGTCTGATGTCAGCACAGCTGAAAGGACTTGGGGCGGGGCCGTGCGCGTGGAAATGGTCAGGCTTTAATGAACTGCCACATATTCCTCCAGCTGAAAAACCCTGTCTTGACTCCAGGCGCTTTCTCCCCTTCGCCCTGATCAATGTTGTCTGGGTTTTTCTCTGTGGCCTCCGTGGATTTGATAAAGGTCTCGTATACTTCCTGGGCTCTCGCGATTTCTTTCTGCGCATCAAAATGGACTTTCTGCCTGGTGAGGAGGGGAACAATCAAATTAAAATCGTTCACTCGCTTGTTTAGTTTTCTGATGTCTTCTTGAAACTGCTCACAAACTTGGTTCCACTGTTTCTGTTCAGTGGGCGTCATGGGATTCCCCAGTTTTTTCCTGGACACCACAATGGACTCTCGGAGTTGGTCAATAGTACCCTTTATTTCCTTTTGCATTAGGATCCATTCTGGTTGGTATCCGTTATCTATCAATATTCTGTTCAGGTTGTGAGTCATGGGATCAATATATGAACAGCCGGAAAACTTCTGTAGAGGCTTTCCTTTCCCACTGAGGTTATCGAAGTCTCCTCTTGCCATTGACTCCTGGATGAGATCCTCCACTAACCGCTCAATGGCTTGAGTGATCTTTTGTTCTTTAGTCTGTCTCACATCTTTGACAGTTAAGCTTTCAGGGAAGTACTGGCTATGCAGCTTCTGCTTTTGATATTCCATCACTTGCTCAGCGGCACGGTCTGCTCTAAACTGCCTGTATTGCTTCTCTCGTTGACTTGGAGTTCCAAAACCAATACCTTCGAAACTTAAGTAATGCCTGTGTTGGGGTGCTTTATATTTGGAGTTTTCTTCCTCATCCTCTGCGTCTTCCACTTTCTTCTGCCGGGCGTTCGTTTGCTGCGTCACGTGGGAAAGCACGTTCCTGTATGCTTCTTCGATCTTTATGAACGTTGCAGAATCCGCTGTAGGAGAGCCACTGTCTGGGTGGTATTGCTTGGCGAGCTTCCGAAAAGATTCCCTGACATCGTCTGCAGAGCATCCTTCTTCCAGATTCAGCCGCCTGTAATATTCTCTCATCTTCTTTGGTGACTTATGAGTTGACATCATTCTGTTTCCAACGACTCCAAGAGATGGGAGCATGTTCATTCGATTACGAATCATCGCAGCGTTTATCAGACGAGATCTTAAGAGTTGAGCCATCATCACATGCAAGGTGTTGACTATCATGCCCAGAGTTCTTCCTAGCAACGGTCTATAAAATGACAACAAGTAAAGGGGAAGAGAGTTGGGTTATCTGCTAATTTCATATGTGCAGCAACAAGGAAGAAATTACAAGCACGCTATGGGCAGTCTTCCGAAGGCGGCTGACAACATTCTTCTATCTATTTTTCAGAGAAATGGAAGTTGATGATGTCTAGCGTTAACACATTGTGATATAATCTGGATTCTACTCACTAAGCACAGAATTTTAGAGCAGGCAAGTTCTTAGAGATCAACTAACCTAGTCTCCTATTTTTAAGAGAAAATGTAAGCCCTGGTGGTTAAGCAGCATAGCCAAGCACTGTATAAGCACAATGGTTAGGGCTAGGGCACACTAACCTATGGACCAGGAGGTCAGGTGGATTCCCGTCAGGGCGAGTGCCTGGACTGTGGGCTCAGTCCCCAAGGGGGCAGCCCATCATTGATTACCTCATCATTGATGTTTCTATCTCTCCCTCTCTAAAAATCAATACAAATATATTTTTTAAAAAATGTTTGTCTTGCCCTAACCGGTTTGGCTCAGTGGATAGAGCGTCGGCCTGCGGACTGAAGGGTCCCGGGTTCCATTCCGGTCAAGGGCATGTACCTTGGCTGCGGGCACATCCCCAGTTGGGGTGCAGGAGGCAGCTGACCGATGTTTCTAACTCTCTATCCCTCTCCCTCTCCCTTCCTCTCTGTAAAAATTCAATAAAATGTATTTAAGGAAAGAAAGAAAACGTTTGTCTGGATCCCGCTGGTTATAAGCTTCATCAGCACCGTTGTTTCCTGGCGTTTGACTGCCTCATCATGTCAAGGACAGAGAGAAGACTCACACCGGAGCAGAGGGCGGGCGGGCAGTCTGCAGCGGGGTGACAGCTGGGGGGACAGTCGCGCACCGGGCCTCCCATCTCCAGGGCTGGCCGGGACGGAGCTAGCTGCTGCCGGCGGGGAGAGCCGGGGGAAGGGGAGCCCCCCACAGGTGAGCTGCTCCGTAAGCACAGATGGCACGTGGAGGAGAGAGACCGGTGCCCGGGAATGGCAGTGCGAGGGCGGCTTAACTCTAAGAGGCATTTTGGTGTATGAACGCCGAACCGGAGCGCTGGGAACCCCAGCTTTCGGGACAATTGGGGTCCAGGGCTTTCAGAGAAGCTGGGAGGTGGTGGTGGTGCCAACGGGGGTCGCTGCGGGGGAGCGTCAGTCCCATCGCGGGACACGCCCCGCCGGGCCCCCACTCACCTTCACCGACTCGGGGAAGGGGCTGCGCGGCTCCCGCCCCCACACCGCGCCTCCGCGCATGCGCGCGCACGCCGCCCTTCAGTCCCCGGAGTCTCCGCGCGCGCCGGGGTCCCCTCCGGACCAGACCATGTGCCGCTTCACCCTGAGGGGACCTGAGAGGCGGCGGGGGCAGAGTCGTACCCAACTGGGACAGGTGTCCTACCTTCCCGGGCTCCCAAGCTCTCTCTCAAAACGAATTCTACCCACGAGGACACAGGCAGGACATTTCAGGAGGCCCGGTCCCGCCCCGGGGCGACCTGGCCCACTTCCCCCCCACCTCGAGCGGAAGGTGGTCCGGTCGATTGGCATTGTGGGAGATGTAGTTCGCGGGGAAGTGCGCCTGCGCCTACAGTGCGCGAGGTGGGAGGGAGCTGTGGGTGCAGCGGGGCTGTGGGTGCAGCGGAAATGTCGTGGAGTGGGGGCGGAGGTGTGTAGGGCTATTGCAGAGTGTGCAGGGCATAGGTTGGGAGCCTTGAAGTCTTTTTTTGGAGGGGGGTATTGATTTCAGAATGGAAGGGAGGCGGGGGTGGGGGGGAGTGGAGAAAGAGGGGGGGAGGGAGAAACATCAATGATGAGAGAGACTCATTGATGGGCTGCCTCCTGCATTGTCACAGATCAAGCCGTAACCCAGGGGTACTGGGAAGCGAACCGTAACCTTTCTAGTTCATAGGTCGAGGCTCAACTGCTGAGCCACGGAGCCGGGCTTGAAGTATTTTTTTAATTTATTGATTTTTAGAGGGAGAGAGAAAGAATGGAAGGGAGAGAGAAACATTGGTTCGTTGTCCCACTTATTTATGCATTCATTGGTTGCTCCTTGTATGTGCCCTGACCAGGGATCCAACCCACAACTTTGGATATGGGGACAGATGCTCTGACCATCTGAGCAACCCGGCCAGGGCTGGGATCCTTGACCTCAGACACTTGTTTTGGGGAGGGAGAGGGAAGACGAGTCGTTTCCCAGAACAGCCTCTTCGGGGCCTGCAGACGGGACACCTGCGCAGAGACCGCAAAGATCTACCGAGTCCAGAAAGGTGTAGCCGAACCGGCTGGACACCTAGCCTTCATCGTTCAGCAAGTACTTACTGAGCAGCTCGCTTAGCCAGGCGTTGGCGCAGGCTGAGGACAGTCGAGGACAAAGTCAAAACAGGGAACTTACTATGGGCAGGTAGTTAAAACAAGGAAAGAAAAAGAAAATTGGGAGTCAGACCTGGGCTTAAAATCCTCTTTCTTTCATTCGCTTTTTTCCGTGCTTGATTGTATATGAGAGGAGAGCACCAGTCACTGGTAAACGTGTATTTAGCACTTAATTTTTGCCAGACACTGTGCCAAGAGCTTTTACATATAGTCTAGTGATCCTTGCAACAGCCCTTTGAGGTAAATGCTGCTGTTTCCCCCATTTTACATGTGATGAAACAATTGCCCTAGCCTAGACTCACTGAGTTTTTGTGAGAGTTGCACCATTTATACGAACCACTTGGCGCAGTGCCTGGCACATAAGCAGGGTTTTTTATTGTGACCATGTCTCCTAAAAAGAGCTGGAACTAGGTCCTAGCTGTTCTAAGCTCCTGGGTGACAGACAATATAATAATTTGTTGCCTTCCTTCTAGGTGCACAGAGAAAGCTTTACCTGCTCACGCAGAGGGGTTTCCTTATAAGCAATGAGCATAAAAGCTTCTACAGGTGGTTACTCTTCCAGTGGACATTGTAAGCACAGCATTCAGAAAGCACCAGGGCAGCTGATCAAACACTCAGACTTTTACAGCACTTGGCATTTCACAAAGCTGCCATCACAAATCTCATTTTGATGTTTGCATCTTAAAAGTGACTCATTTAAGTTGTTAAATGGCAAAGCGAGGACTAGAATTGTAAGTCCATTTCTCTTTTCAGAGGATCAGTTTTTTATTATTATTTTAAATATGTTTTTATTGATTTTAGAGAGAGGAAGGGAGCGGGAGAGAGAGGAATATCCATGTGAGGGGGAAACATCTGTCACTTGCTTCCTGTTTGCCCCCTGAGCCAGGGGACCAGGACCTGCAACCTGGGCATGTGCCCCGACTGGGAATCAAACCGGCGACCTTTCGGTGCCTGGGATGATGCGCCATCAACTGAGCCACCCAGCCAGGGTGGGACTAACTTTAAATGAAAGTATGTTGGGTTAGATCAGCAATTTTCAACTGGTGTGCCACGACAATTTTTTAAAACATGCAGTACCTGACTATTTAGTTGGGCACTGACCTCTTTTCCCTTAGATTGTCAAATAAAGAAATGACAACAGCCAACAAAACAATAGCCATCCGGTGTGAATGAATCAGAATTATACCTACTTTTCTTTTCAGATCGGCAAAGATATGTTTTTTGGTGTGCTGCAGAATTTTAGTAATTAGTCTATGTGTGCCATGAAATGAAAAACAGTTGAAAATCGATGTTCAGCCCTGACCAGTTTGGCTCAGTGGCTAGAGCATCGGTCTATGGACTGAAGAGTCCCAGCTTCGATTCCGGTCAAGGGCATGTACCTTGGTTGTGGGCACATCCCCAGTAGGGAGTGTGCAGGAGGCAGCTGATTGATGTTTCTCTCTCATGGATGTTTCCAACTCTCTATCCTTCTCCCTTCCTCTCTGTAAAAAATCAATAAAATATATTTAAAAAAAAAGAAAAGAAAATCGATGTTCATGACATTTCCTAGTGTAGAGCATCTTTTTCATAATCCTGTGTTCTCACAATGTGGTTGAGCATTTTGAAACAAAATTTTCCATAAACAGGAGAAAAGACAGCTGGCAAGAATTTAGTTAGCGCATCCAAACCTTTACTAATGACGTTGCTGAGCGGGTGGGAAGTAGATGATGCTACTTTAGAAAGTTACTGAAAACCAGATGTCCCGGCTCTGTGGTTACATTACACGCGTGTTGGCCGCTTACGGAGCGTGGCACGGGAACACCATGTCTCCTTTGTCCTGGCGGCTGTAATTTCACACTTTGACCAACGCGAGTGAGGGCTCTGTTTTCATTCACCTGTGTTTCATTTTCGTTTTCTTTTGTTTGCTGGTTCTGTGATAACTGCGAAGAAGTTGATTTCTTTCATGTAAGTTGTAGACCATAGTAACCCAAATCACACTTCCCTGAAGAGTGATTTCTGGTTCAGTCTGGATGCTACGAGCGAATGTTGGCCAGTGACCTTTGCAAACAGTATCTCCTGCAGCTACAGTTTTTAGAGTCCCTGTGAAAATGCTTTCCTACGTGGCATCTGCATTCTTTTTCTTAATCCTCAGCCGAGGACATTTTCCCATTGATTTTAGAGAGTGGAAGGGAGAGGGAGAGACGGGGAGAAACATCGATGTGAGAGAGACGCATCGATTGGTTGCCTCCTGCACAAGCCCCGACCAGGGCCTGGGAACATGCAACCGAAGTACATGCCTTTGACGGGAATCGAACCCGGGACCTTTCAGTCCGCAGGCGGACGCTCTATCCACTGAGCCAAACTGGCTAGCGCTGCATTCATTTCTCACTGTTTGGTCAGGGAAGAGCTTGGCATAGACTGTCAGCTTGAAGAGAGAGAAGGTGTAAATCAGTTTACGTCGTTCAACGAGTGTGAACTAAGGGAGGGTGTCCTGAAGGGAGAAGAGTCACACTCATTTGGGTATTTTCCCCTTTTCCCTCTGCCCAGCCGGCTGACCAGTTACTGAACTACCCTAAGGTGGTCAGTGAGGGCCACACTTAGGGTTTGGGCATCTTCGTTCATGTAAACTGCCCTTCCGGCCAGGATGTCTGGTTGTCATTTTGCCATTGAATTAATGTGATGAATTATTTGACTGGAGCTGGTCCTTGAAATTATGAATAATGTCTGCCTCTCCCTGATTGCCAGCCGCTAGTGGGAGAACACGTGCATGCCAGCTCCCTGGGCACCACGATCTGCATCCTTCCCAACCCCCTTACACTTCCCGCCCTGTTGATGGCCGTCGCTGCTCTACAGTGCAGCCCTCCTCGCTTTCCTCACCTCAGAAGCTGTGTCCAGCTCTACTGAGGAGTGATTGACAAATACAAACTGTGTATATTTAAGGTGTACAACTTGATAGTTCAATATACCCATATATTGATACAATTACCACAATCAAGCTAATTAACATACTCATGTAGTTACCATTTTCTTTGTTGTTGTTAATCCTCACCCAAGGATATTTTTTCCATTGATTTTTTTTTTTTAGAGAAAGTGGAAAGGTGTGGGGGGAGATACAGAGAGAGATACATCCATGTGTGATAGACACGGCAATTGGTTGCTTCTCACACACCCCTACGGGGCCTGGGATCGAACCTGCAACTGAGGTACGTGCCCTGATGGGGAATGGAACCGTGACCTCCTGGTTCACAGGTCAGTGCTCAGCCACTGGAGACATTTTTTATTGTTACAATTGGGAACTGTTACTGGCGTCCAGTGGGTAGATCCCAGGGGTGCTGCTCAACACCCTACAATGCACAGAGCAGGACACCCCACAACAAAAAATTACTGGGCCTCCGATGCCGGTGCTGGGTGCTGAGGTCAGAGACTGCCGTGGCCTTCTCTCTCTGGTTACGCCACCCTGTCTGTGGTATTTCAGATGGCGGCCTAGCAACCTACTACAGCAGGTCTCTCCCAGCCTCACACGTTGCTTAGTGCACTCCAGGAGTTTGTACTCTCCCAACTTTCCTCCGAGATAGAAACTCTAAAAGCAAGTAGGCTCCAGTTTGGCTCCGTGGATAGAGCGTCAGCCTGCGGACTGAAGGGTCCCAAGTTCGATTCTAGTCAAGGGCATGTACCTTGGTTGCGGGCACATCCCCAGTAGGGGGTGTGCAAGAGGCAGCTGATCGATGTTTCTCTCTCATGGAATTTTCCAACTCTCTATCCCTCTCCCTTCCTCTCTGTAAAAAATCAATAAAATATATTTAAAAAATAAATAAATAAATAACATATATTTTAAAAAAAAGCAAGTAGAAGCTTTAGCCTCTTTCCTTGCCCCCTGGCTGGACACACCCTTGGTGACCTAAATAATGAAAGGCCTTCTGAAGTGAGAGGCAACAAGCATTCTATTTAATACTAGAGACCCGGTGCACGAAATTCGTGCACGGGGGTGGAGGGCGGGTATCCCTCAGCCCAGCCTGCATCCTCTCGCAATCTGGGGCCCCTCAGGGGATGTCGGGCCTAAATCGGCAGTTGGACATTCCTCTCGCAATCTGGGACGCTGCATGCACCAGTGACCATACTTTTCGTCCAGGTGAAAGGCATCTTGCTGCTGTACGGGCAGCTACATATTTTTGCCCTGATTACAAAAAGTAGCACATAACATGGTCCTTCTGGGGCAGTAGTACCATTTCCCCCATCTTATGGGTGGAAAAACTGAAGCAGAGAGAAGTTAAGTAACTGGCTTTGTCACACAGTTATAAGTGTCAGAATCAGGGCTCACCACAAAATGTGCAAGCCAGAGTCCATGCATGTCATCGCTGCATCATCCTGTTTTTTCAGTGTTAGAGTAGCCTTGCCAGGTTTTAATTTCTAAATCTAAGAGACTGTTCCCAATAGATAGGGTAGGGTCCTTAGGCCTGGCTGGCGATTAGGGCCATCTGTGGGGCGACCGCTTTGGCTGGCAGCCTGGTGCCACCTGCTGGCTGCCCCCCGCCCCCAATCGCCTCCAGTTGCTGGTCTGTGGTCAGTGCATGTCATAGCAACTGGCCGTTCTGCCAGTCATTCCGCCGTTTGGTCGATTTGCATATTAGGGTTTTATTATATAGGATTAAAAAAGAAAGAGAATAGCTGTTTGGGGAAACCCCAGTAGGAGTCAGATCAGGAGAGGGAGGCCGGGGCAGCTGGGGGAAAGGGAGGGAACAATGGCATCCATAGAAAGCAAGCATTTCTGTGGGTTCAGATTAGGCAACACAGTAGCCGAACTCTCAACAATGTACTTAATTTCCAGGTCACCGGTCCTCCGTCCTCAGTCTTATCTGCTCTCTTGTTATCCTTGCAAACAGTTCTTTGGGACACAGTGTTGCTTCAGGCCCAGGGCAAAGGTTAGTTTGCCCTGTTTTAACTCCTGAAGGCTGGAGGCATGAGACTGCCAGGCAGCGCCTCTGGGGCAGCTCCATTTTAAAGTGACTCCTTTTATGATTATTTTCACACCCTGGCTTGGCTTTGGGTCGCTCCTCCTTCAGGGCCACCCACCACAGTGATGTGTGCATTTAGGGGGGCGTGAGCCTCCCCATGCAAGATTAGATCTCTCTCCTGGGGCCTGGCTCTCATTGCAGTAGAGTACAGGTGGGCTCAGAAGTTAGCATTTTTATGCCTATTTTTTTTTTTTTTTTTTAGAGAGAATGGAAGGGAGAGGAAGAGTTAGAAACATCGATGATGAGAGAGAGCCATTGGTAAGCTGCCTCCTGCACGTGCCCTGACCAGGGCTGGGGATCAAGACCGCAACCCGGGCCTGTGCCCTTGACTGGAATCAAACCTGGGATCCTTCGGTCCGCAGGTCGTCGCTCTATCCACTGAGCCACACCTGGCCAGGGCAGGAGTTAGCGTTTGTAGTAAGTTCACTTGGTCTCTAAGAGGAAGGAAGGAGAAGCTTACTGCCCTCCCTGAAGCACCATCCCCCTCAGCGGCACCCCTCCTTCCCGGGCCCTCCCTCCAGTTGCCCCTTCTTTCGCGGCTGCTCTGCCTGCTGCTCTCACCTGCGGACTCGTGGCGGGGCTGCGGGCTCTGTCTGTTCACTGTGATCGCCTTCATCATCCCTGGCCAGCCTCTCCGTCCATCCTGAAGGGAAGGCCCTGGAGTGGGATGAAGGCAGTCAGTACAGGAATCCCTAAATGTGTGCAAGGAAGTCCCACTGATCTCTGACCATCATTCTTCCCTCACTTTTCGAGAGACAGGCACACCTGGCCCTCATCCCGAGTCTCACCAGGTCCTGCCCGCAGCCGCAGGCACCAAGGCGCAGCTGGAAGGCGGGTTTGCTGGGGACGCCGAGGAAGGACACCCTTTCTGAGATGGAGCCTTCCCCACACTGAGCTTTCCACCAGGCGGCAGGCGGCCTAACGGGCTGGTCAGCTGAATATGTGGAGTCATGTCGTGATGGAGCTGCTTGTCTCTGCATGTCGCTGAGGCAAAGGACTGTGCGACAGTGCTGCAACAAAACTGTTTAAAACTATTTATTTATTGCAGAGAAGGGAGAGGGAGAGAGAGAAACATCAGTGATGAGAGAGAATCATGTTAGCTGCCTCCCGCACAACCCCCACTGGGGATGGAGCCCGCCCCCCGGGCCTGTGCCCTGAGCAAGAATCAAACCAGGACCTCCTGGTTCATAGGTTGATCCTCAACCACTGAGCCATGCTGGCTGGGCCAAAGCTACTTCTTAAATGCAGTCGGACTTTCAGTTCCACCAGTATTTCAACTTATGAATCTGTTTTGTAACGTGAATAGACCCGGAACATTAAAATCCCTGGCTTTCATGGCAGCACTGAGCACAGGTGGGCTCGGGAGGCAGCGTCCTGAATGAGCTCACCCCCGAGGATGGCCAGGCTCACAGGTGGAGGACCCCAGGTTAGGACTGCGGCTCAGACAGGGTTTAAAATGCGCTGTCAGGCCTGACCTGTGTGGCTCAGTGGATGGAGTGTCTGTCGGCCTGCAGACTGGAGGGTTCCGGGTTCGATTCCGGTCGAGGGCATGTACCTTGGTTGCGGGCACATCCCCAGTGGGAGGTGTGCAGGAGGGAGCTGATCGATGTTTCTAGCTCTCTATCTCTCTCCCTTCCTCTCTGTAAAAAATCAATAAAATATATTTTGTAAAAACAAAACAAAAAAACGCGCTGTCACCACCATGAAGTCCTGTCTGTGTCCACCTAAGTGACTTCATGTGCTGCCTGCGGAACATTACCATGTAAGTTTGATGTAATTTATAAGATTACATGTAACCTTGATGTACTCCAAATCCATGAATTGTTTTCCAGTGACAGAGGGATTGTACCTCTTTTTGGGGGAAGTTTTATTGAGATGGAAGTCCCGTGCCACACAACTCAGCTATTTAAAAGGCACAGTTCAGGCCAGTGGCTTCAGGCACTGTTCATGCAATGTTCATGGGGTAATGAGAATTCCTATCTCGCTCTCTCTCCCTCTCCCGCTTCCTCTCTGAAATCAAGAAAAATATATTTTAAAAAACACCTTTAAAAAAAAATTCTTTTTATTGATTTCAGAGCGAAAGGGAGAGGAAGATATAGAAACATCAATGATAAGAGGGAATCAATTGATTGGCTGCCTCCTGAATTTCCCTTATTGGGGATTAAGCCTACAACCTGGGCATGTGCCCTTGACTTGACCAGAATCCAACCTCGGACCCTTCAGTCCCCAGGCGGACCCTCTATCCACTGAGCCAAGTCAGCTAGGACAGAAACTGGGTTTTATGTGTCTTCTTGAACCCCTTGCTGTTGCATCATCGCTTCAACTGTGGGGCCAAACCTTTGTCCCAGGACCGGGGGGTGAGGGCTGCCGAGCTTGGCACCCACTGTCAGGTGAGTGGCAGTGTGACTGTCTGACCCTGGCTGAGGATAGGTGGGTGACCTAAACATGGCCAATCAGATGGCCCTGCCTGGGACTGTAAGGCTGTATGATTGATCCGGAGATACAGGCCACCAGAGTGTGTGGCCTATTTTTTTTAGAAAAGAACTTATTGACCAAAGCAAAAACACACTCAGGACAGAGTAACAAGGGCATAGAAGCAACAGGCTGGGCTGCTCTGGCTCCCCGAGAAGTCAGAGAAAAGGGAGCCTTGGGGTCAGGGTCCGGGTGAGCCCAGGACCAGCTGCTGCTGCCCACTGCTCCCCTGGTTGCAAGTCTCCTGGGGTCCCTTGGAGGTTAGGAGATGCACGCCTGTGAGAGAAGGGAAGGGTGTGGGCGTGCTCCCTGCAGGGAGAGCTCACCAGAGTGCGTTTGGTTATGGGGCAGCCACAGGCTGAGTGCCCACGGGAAGTGGAGCCTGTAGGGCCCTTGCCAGCCTCTCCTGGGGGCATGATTTGGGCTATTTCTGGCCACTTAGCACGGAAGAGCTAAGGAGAATAGTAATGAGTGACTAGCAGCACATTATTAAGCATAGTATAACTAAACACTACTATATTGTACGTAAGTTATTTAAAAGTTTATACAGCAGTTAAAAGTAGTAAAAATATTGCCCTGACCAGGTGGCTCAGGTGGCTGGAGCATTGTGTCCGTGTGCCAAAAGGATGCGGTTTTGATTCCCAGTCAGGGCAAATACTAGGTTGCAAGTTCAATCTCTGGTGTGTGTGTGTGGTGTGTGGTGTACAGGAAGCAACCGATTGATGTTTCTCTCTCACATCAATAAAAACATACCCTTGGGTAAGGATTTAAAAATTGTAGTAAAAAACTGAGAGGGAATATTTAGATGAAATCTCTCTTGGAACATTCCCCTCTAGGACATTTGGAACTCACACCTGAACCCCCCCTGTGTGTAACCTCAGGGCTCACTGATGATGGGTACCTCCCCGCACAGCCCTGCCCTGCCCCGCCCCGCCCCGCCCATCTTCCCACCTGAACACAGTGAGCTCAGGGGCTGTGTCACTGCTGCTCACACAGACACAAACAGACGTCTGCAATAAAAATGTCCGGGTTTATTCCGCCAGTAAAATATTGACCTGCTTTTCTCCGTTTTGGCGTATGGCTGCCAAAGCTTAAATGACCTTTTCTCTGCGAGTATCATTATAAACACATCCAACATGTCCAAATACTCTCACACACGAGACGGGCGGTCCAGGCGACTCTGCTGCTTGTCCTGCATCCCTGCCGGTCCCAGGCGCGTGGTTCCCAGCAATCCCATGGTCACACACATGGTGGTTCTTCCTGTTCCAAGACATGGAGTTGGCGGTGTCCCCGGAGCCAGGGTCCCTGTAGAGCTAGCCGGGAGTTCCTCTCCGAAGTCTGCAGCTGACGCTGGTCTAGCTGACCTCTCGGCACTGGCCTCTACCTTAAAGCATGAGATTGTTTCTCTAGGACCTTCCCAGGCCAGGGCGTGGCTTCACGTCAGTGAACTCTCCAGACCAACGGCCGACAGCTCCTGAGGAGGGACGGTGCGGGAGGCCCGAGCCTGCTGATGTGACGGCCGTGCTGCCTCCCAGAGATGCCGTCGGCCAGAAAAGGGGGGAAGGACGGCGAGGAGTTTGGTGTGTTGTCTGGCTGACAGTGGAAGGAATTCTGAATGACGAGCTGGATCCCGAACAAGGTCGTGAACAGGTGAACTTGCGAGACCCCTGGAGGCAACACATCCATGTGCCGGGTGCCCCACCAGCCCTGCTTGTCACGACTCTGTTTGTTAAAAAACGACCAAGGAGGAAACGGCGAGTTTCTGGGCGAGGACGTGATAAAAGCCACTGTACCGTGCGAACGGCCGGACCTCCTTCCTGCAGAGGCAGCGTCACTCCTCCTGGGCCCAGCAGAGCTGGCCGTCCTCGCCCAGCCGCACGGCACCGCTGGCCACCAGCTGCAGGGCTGCGGGGAAGATCCTGTGCTCCGCGACCTTCACCCGCTCGGACAGGGTGGCCACCGTGTCCCCCCTCCTCACCGGCACAGCTTCTTGTAAAATGATCCGCCCGGCATCCACGTCTTCCTGGAAAAGGAGGCAGCGCTTTGAACCCGACGTTCCAGCCGGTACCACTCACCTCCAAACCCGTGACACCACCGTGGAGACATACTCACCGCCACAAAGTGCACGGTGCACCCCGTCACCGCGACGCCGGCGGCCAGGGCCTGCTCGTGGGCATCGGCGCCCTTGAAGGACGGCAGCAGGGACGGGTGGACGTTGAGCATTCTCCCTGGAAGGCGAGCACAGAGTCAGAGGACACGTCCTGTTCGTTACCAGACCGCGTGCTCTCCTGTCGGGAACAGGAGTCGGGGCAGGATTTCTCTGGAAGGTGTTTTCTTCGTCAGAGACAGAGCGGAGGCAAAGGGAGAATCAGGCTCGTGTCCGGGGCGGCAGGTCCCTGCCCTGCACGGCTGAGGACTCGCCGAGGGACCCGCAGTGACTGAGGTGGGGCAGGGACGGGGCAGGGTGCGCTCTGTGGGCCCTGGGGCTCTGGAGGACAATTCAGTGTGTCGCTGGCACACACTAGGGAGACACACGAAACCCTCACACAGTGTGCACGTGGGACCAGTGGCATGTCCACCAGCCAGAAGGCGGCTCAGCCCTGTGCCTCGGCACCTAAGGCCCGGCCTGCTCACGTCCCACCCCGTGCGCTCCCGCTGTCCTCTTAGGGAAACACAAACCCTTTGGAGAGACAGTGCGTTTACTGCTCACATGTGTGCACAACACACAGCAGGACGCAGGGGAACTTTGGTGGGAAAGGCAGTAGCCCCAGGCCTCTTGTTTTCTGGACACATCGTCCTCCCTGTCCCCTCCAGCAGCGCCTGCACTCCCCGAGGAGCGGGTGGGGGCTCAGGGAGCCACACTCTTGCTCCCAGACAAGTGAAAAGGCCCCCTCCGAGCACGGACTCAGAAGAGGAAGTGCTGTCTGTGTGGTGTGGGAACCAAAGCCCCGCTCTATTAGGAAAGCGGTAACACACAGGCTAGGAACCGGTGAGAGCAGGATCGTGAATCACCCTGGGCATTCTCTGGGTGAAGGCGAAGGGAATGACTCTGTGACCGTGACAGTCAGTGTCATGTACACACGCCCGTGGGGTTGCCGGGCCAGCTAACCGCGAGGTGCACTTGCACGAGGCCTCTCCCGCTCACCATTCCACTTCCTGACGAAGGGGCCAGACAAGATCCTCATGAACCCTGCCAGGCAGACGATGTCCGCGGAGAACTCTGCGAGGACCTGGTCAATGGCCGTGTCAAATTCGACACGGCTTTTGTATAACTTGTGATTAAGAACCTGGAACAGAAAAGCAGAAGCATGATCTGTTTCAACGAGTGACCACAAATAGGTCCACTCGACCTTTCCACAGACCGCAGTCCACTTCCTTGCGAAGCCGCGCCGACAGAAAGAGGTAGGGAGTGACGGCACGAAGCAGAAAGACCGGCCCAGCACCACCCCAAACCCAGACACCCAGAGGCCACAAGCCGCGCCCCAGCCAGCGGGGCGGAAGACAGGTGTGAGCACAGCGCAGGCAGGACACGCCGAGGCCGTACCCTGGTGGGAATGCCCGCACGCGCCGCTCGGTCCAGCCCGGCCACCGCGGCCTTGTTGGAGACGACCACGACGATGTGTGCGGCGCTGCTCGGCTCCCGGGTGCTGTCTATCAGCGCCTGCAGGTTCGAGCCTGAGGAAGAAGAGCACCAGCAAGCTCACACTTCTTAAAGAGACATGTGCCCTTAAACCTTTGAGCTTTTCAATTACAGTTCACATTCCGTACCACATCAGTTTCAGGGGTACAGCGCAGTGGTTAGACATTTACATAACGTACGAAGTGGTCCCTCGCAGCGAAGTCTGGCCCCCGCCTGGCACCTAGTTAGCCCGTCACTGACTGGACCCCCTGTGCTGTGTGATGGACTAGATTCCCGGGGGCTGTAGAGATCAAACCCTGAGGTTTTTGGGGGGACAGGGTAGGTGGGGAGGGAAGAGCATGTGTGCAGCACTGTAGGAAAGGGGAGGCCACAGCTCACCTGTCCCAGAGATGAGGACGGCCACTCTGGCCTTTTCCGGGGCAGAGGAGGGAGTGTGCGTGCAGCCGTTCTGCACCACGGGCCCGCTCAGCTGCAGGGCATCCAGCAGGTGCCTGACTCTCACTCGGGGAGAACCTTCATTTCAAACACCCAGGAAAGAAGCAAGCACAGTCGTGAATTAACAGCGAAGATAGAAAGGATCTATGATAACTTCAGAACGCTGTATCTTATTCTGAAAAGGAGATGTGTGAGGACTAAAATACCAGTTTGTATTATTACTACTACTCATTCACAAAAGCCTCCTTTAGGGGAACACATGGCCTCCTTCAGCCGAACGCTGTAGCTTATGTCAAGACCTAACCCAGTGTTGACACCCCTGCCTGCCAGGGCTCCACCCGCCCTCCACGCTCATCCACGACAGTGGGGAGCTCCAGGCTTCACAGGAAGGCATGGGACCAAGCAAAGCCACTCAGAGCTCTGACACAGGACGCTGGCAAAGAGAGGGCCTTTCTTCCTGCCATGTGAGCTGAAGGCTGTGAGCTCCTCTTTCCAGTATTTGGAGAACCGGCCTGAATGTGAAACCTACACACAACGGAATGAGAGGCGGAGAAGACAAGAACCCAAGCCCTGACATCTGTGGCGACTTCTGAGTGGGTTCTGCCACGCTGCCGCCTGCTGGCGCCGGTGACCGAGCCCCCGGGGAAAGCAGGGCACTGGTCAGGGCGTCCGCTCACCACTCCCGGATATGAGCCAAGCTGCAAAACACAGCCCGAGAGGTCGTTGGGAAGTGAGCCAGGGACCAGTGTGCGGATGTGGGAGCGCAGAGGAGCCAGGACAGGGCTGTGCTAGGAAACTGGCACCCACGGCGGGCAGCGGGGCTCAATGCCTTGGCCCTCAGACGGTGCCTCAGCACTGCTTCCTGTCCCTGGAGTGGCGCTTCACTCGCCAGCTCGCACCCCTCTGGCCAAGGTGCGGCTGTGGGGGTGGGGCCTGTGCGGCTGCTCTGGGGGCCTGAGCCCCACGGCGGAAGTGGAGGTACACGGTGTCACCGCGTGGCTGTTGTCAGGTTACACCTGGGCCACAGCGATGCCGGAGCAAGAGGTGGACGGACAGCGTGTGAGGTGGGACAGATACACGCAGGATCACACGCCGAAGAGCCAAATAAGGAGCGACTACCTTCGGGGCAGGCCACCACCCTGCCGATCAGCCAGGCCTCCTCCTGGTGCTGCCGAACGTCCCTCAGCACCGGCTCCGCCAGGTCCTCCGACACCACGAGGGCAGCCCCGACCCCGCAGTTAAAGGTCCTGGCCATCTCCTCCTCCGAGAGGCGTCCTTCCTGCTGCAGCCACGAGAAGATGGGGGGGACCCTCCAGGCCCGGGCGTCTGGAAATGGGAAGAGTGTCCGATTACCCCCCGTCGCTCTCAGAAAGGATGAAGGGCGCACACCGCCCGGGGCCCACAACAGCCCTGCTGCTTCGCTGCCAAGAAGGCCACCATTCTAGCAACAGTCACCGTCAACAGTCAACAGCAACATAAAGGAACGTAATGTTTTATGGACACTCATTAAAAGCGCTGTTGTTATGACAGGTTAGCACTGACGACACAGTAAATGGCAGGATAAACAGATTACACCCAACTACGATATTTTAGCAAAACGTTTACAAAGTGTTAGTTTGATTCCTGGAGGAAACCCCAGAGACTGAAGCAGGGACCGAGTTTCCTTTGTATTGGGACAGACATTTGCATAATTCACAAGACAACGGCTTTTAGGCATATGGCTATACCAACGCTCAAGTTACTGGAGTGGCGACCATTATGTTCTTTTTAGCCAGTGGAGGCAGCCAATACAGCCGTTTAAGAACTGGCCAGGAAGGGGTATTTACACCACAGGAACTGGCAGAGGCGCCAAGGAGCCCGGCCTCTGCGCTCCCCCATCAGCACGCCGCCGCCTTAATGATCCCAAGAGGATGAGCCCTTCTTCAAGGTTGTGCTTATCCTCCCTGGGAAACATCTCTACCCCAGGAGTGTCTGAAGCCACCAGGTTAGCCCATGGGCCTTGCACTCGGCGCTGCTGCTGCAGGGGGTCCCATGCAGCCCCCGCCCAGCTGCTCCTTTCGGCTTCCTGGAGAGGCGCAATCCCATCTGACCACTCTCCTCGCTTTCACAACCACCTATTTCTGACTTTCAGACTCTCCTAGCTTCATATCTGCTTCGACAGGGGGGCTAGCTCAGCACATCTACTCAGCTGCACCCACAGCTGCTCCGCCCATCACCCACCCCTCCACCTGCTCAGCCCAACCCCATCAACCCAATCACTTAATGTTTTCTGTTCTTGTTCCAAGGCTACGCATGCTCTTTCTCTGGGAGGAAAATTACACAACCAGCTTCAACTTCTCCTTCCGTCCTGCTTGCCGTCCCAGTCCTGTTTCTGACCTTGACGGCTCTAGTGTGAATTTCTCACCTCAAGCCGCCAGTCCAGACCTGCGCAGGCACTAAGCCCGTCTTCCCGCACCAGGAAAAGGCATCCGTTTCTACCCCTCAAACCAGTGTATACAGCTGACTCTGACAGCCTGGCCACGTGCTCTGCCTGTCTCTTTCCCCTATAAAAATGGGGACAGCCCTGTCTTTCACTTTGCTATGAGCAGAAGTCATTTCCCCTCACCTTTAACCAATCAGTTTCTGAGTCAGTACTCTCTGTCTACTGTCTTTGTACCTCTGCCCCCATCAAGCTGCCTTTTTAAAAAAAATATATATATTTTATTGATTTTTTACAGAGAGGAAGGGAGAGGGATAGAGAGTTAGAAACATCGATGAGAGAGAAACATCGATCAGCTGCCTCCTGCACACTCCCCACTGGGGATGTGCCCACAACCAAGGTACATGCCCTTGACCGGAATCGAACCTGGGACCCTTGAGTCCGCAGACCAACGCTCTATCCACTGAGCCAAACCGGTTAGGGCCCCATCAAGCTGCTTTTTGACCCACCTGAGACATGCGGGTCTATCCTGGCCCTCACCCTATAGCTACGCAGCACCTGACTGGCCGACCAGGGTCATGCTCAAGTCCCTGCTGGGGCTGCTACTTTTACAGGGCTCACTCCCCTCACGGTTCTTGCAGTAGCCCTACCTCTGCCAAGGTCAGGCACTGAGGAGCAACCTCTGGCCCCTCCACTCTTGTGGCGTTAGCGGTAACTACCTGCATACAAGGACCCAACTTATCTTCAATCTGATCTAACTTCTGATCACAGACTCCGTGCAATAAGCACACTGAAGAGTTGAAACACGGATTTCAATTCCTGCTCCAAATTTACTCTTCCTCCTGTGTTTTGGACGTTGCCATCCACTCAGCTGCTTGACTAGAAACTTAGGACTTGCTTTCCCTTCTAAGCACAAATGACTCTCAGCCCTGCCTCCTCCCGCACGCCTTGGTCCGGCTTCACCCCTGCAGAGGACTAGTCAGGGCTGCCCCTGCCCTCCCTGCACGTCCCAGGGTCCGACACGACAGAGCTTGAGACTACCCACCCCCGGAGGACCTGACAGCCCTTCATCTGCTGTAAGACAAGTACGTGAGAGGGTTTCATGATTTACAAACACGGCAAACAAGGCAAAAGAGGTAAAAGGGGCAGCCCTGTTCCCCCCAGACGCCCGGTGAAAAGAATTTCCCACGTGTGACCACATGTGCACGAACCAGCCACAGCGCCCCGTGTGCCTTTTCTCCGAACAGCGCTCACCTAACTCCACCCCGCACCTCGGGGGGAGGACCCGCGGGATGTTCTCCAGCAGCCCTCCGCCGGTGATGTGGGCCAAGGCCTTGACATGACCCGAACGCAAGACAGGTAACAGGGACTGGCTGTAGATTCTGGTCGGAGTCAGAAGTAAGTCCCCTGGATATTGGAGAGAAAAGACAAAAACTTAGCCAGTGAATAGAAAACCAAAGCATAAAAAAACAACAAAATGGCCTGGCCGGTGTGGCTCAGTGGTTGAGCGTAACCTATGAACCAGGAGTTCACAGTTCGATTCCCAGTCAGGGCACATGCCCAGGTTGTGGGCTCGATCCCCAGTGTGGGGCGGGCAGGAGGCAGCCGATCAGTGATTCTCTCATCATTGATGCTTCTATCTCTCTCCCTCTCTTCCTCTCCTTTCCTCTCTGAAATCAATAAAAATATCTTTAAAAGACCCTAAAACAACGAAATAAAATGGAAGTAGAGAATGCTCGTGACTGTGCAGGCCCAGCAGTTCTATAACAACGTCCCGACAAGACCACAGGACAGTGCCATTGATTCCAGCTCAGCAGTGAGAGGCTGCCCCGCTCAACGGTACTCAGATATCTCCGTGCAGGAGTGTACAGTGAAAGTGCACTCACCCAAGGTCTGGTCGCCGCAGCCGTGGGGTGCCGGGGAGGAGTACTGAAGGGAAGATTTCGCCACAATCTTCCTCACAAGGCTGAACCCATTGCTGTGGAGACCCGATGACGCTATTCCAATAACCACGTCCCCTTCAGCGATGCTTTCCAGGCGAGGGAGTTGCTGGTCCCGCTCCACGGCCCCCACGGCGAACCCAGCCAGGTCGTACTCCCCAGGGGGATACATGTCCGGCATTTCTGCTGTTTCCCCTCCTGGCGGGAAGACCAAACAAGAACAAGGAAACCGTAACATTCATGCATCTATCTGGGACGTAGTGACCCCAGCTACAATTAAACACCTGGCGGTAATCCTAAACATTCCTTAACTGTCCTCTGTAGACTGCCCAACAGAACTTTTAACCAAGCAGGATTTCAGAGGAAATCGCGCTAATTTCCAAAAAGGGTGAGGTGGCCTCCAAACATCACTTGCACAGGACGATGCTCAGTGAATAAAACGTCACGTCCTAGCAGTTTGGTTTTGGCAATGCCTTCCCTGTAGTTGATCTTTATAGCCACTCTACTGATGTTCTAGATCAGCGGTCGCCAACCGGTGGTCCGTGGACCACTGGTGGTTTGTGAGGTCCGAAAGGTTGGCGACCGCTGACCACTGTTCTAGATGACGGTACAGGCTGAGACAGCGATGAATCAGCCCGCCCTACGCCAAATGCCCCAGCCTGAAAAGCACCCACAGGTCACTTCAGGAGAACATCGTCCAAAGATGGGGTCTAGGCACTCAGATTCCCAATAAGAGGCTGTCCTAAAAAATGGCTGCAAAGGCAACTCTGGCTTCTGGAATGGATCTGTCCACAGAGTGGTAATACTGAGGTAGCTTTGTGCCTTGGTGAACCTGGATTCATTTTGCACAACTCTCATACACATTTAAGCAATCCTATATAATAAAAGCATAATATGCAAATCAACTGAACAGTGGAACAACTGGTGGGCGAGGGGTGGGGCCGGTGAGCAGGCAGTGCCAGGCCAGCGGGCAGAGGGAAGGGCTGGCGATTGGGGGCAGCGGTGACCAGTGGCGGCAGAGGGGTGATTGGGGGGGCAGGGCTGGCTGCTCGTAGGCTGGTGCTGTCCCCTGATTGGCCCGCCCAGTCCTCCTTCAAAGGGAGGCCAGTCGTTGTGGGGAGTGGACTAAGCCATCAGTCGGACATCCCCTGAGGGCTCCCAGATTGCGAGAGGGCACAGGCTGGGCTGAGGGACCACTCCCCCCAGTGCATGAATTTTCGTGCACCGAGCCTCTAGTCTATAAAAGGCTAATATGCTAAGTGTCCGAATGATTGACCAGTTGCTATGACACACACTGACCACCAGGGGGCAGACGCTCAATGCAGAAGCTGTTGAGATGTGCATTGGCCATTTACAGAGAAATGGCTCCTTGGGCCTGGCACCCAGAGAGCAACACTCAGCTTCCCCCAAGTGGGACACAGGCCCCGCCACCACCCTGGAGCGACACCCCACGATATCACAGCTAATGCTGCCGAGAACGCAGCCCACAGCCCAAACCAGCCCAGCTCAGCCCAGCCCGGAAACAGTGGCTGTGGGCAACGGGTAATGATGTCAGGTGGCAATGCCCAGCTTCCTCTCTCTAGTGACTAGCCTCCTTGGAATTTCTTCAGCCCAGGAACATTACTTGCTTTCTAGCCAGGTGGAAACATTTCACACTATAACCAAATGTCTGTGAAGTGTTTTCCCTGCCTCATCTCATTTGATCCTCACAGAAGTCCTGGAGTAGGTAGATAGGAGACTTGGTGGAATCCTATTTTCTTTTCATTAGCCAGAAAATGGAGATTTAGAAAGCTTAGAAACTTGACCTGACTGAAAAGAAGAAATGGTGGACCTTGAAAATGACTTCAGGTTTTCTCACTGTGCAGAATATAGTCAAATACACTGCAGTTAAATATTTTACCCTTTGTTCTCCCTGCGTGATCTACAATAATAATCTGCTTCGTGTTGATATTTACTGCTGTGTTGCTGACAATTACCTGAAAGAGAAGTTGGGATGCTTCACTGGGCTGGAAAAAGTTTAGCTAAATCAGAAAGCAGGTCAAATGAAGCAAGTTTGTTCTCTATCTATAAAAGGCTAAGTTAACTCGCGCATGTGCAATACATATAAAGCTCTTGCTGGTGCCAATCACACGCATGTTTCCATCTGTCATTGTCGATCATGATTTTGGTTGACACTTCTATTAGAGAAAGGGCGAATAGCGATATTAAAACGTTTCTTCTAATTAATTTCCTTTCAATGTGCACGAGTCCGTGCACCGGGCCACTCGTGTTTCTATAAACCTTGGGCACTGTTTGTTTTGTTTTTCTCCTGTGGGAAAAGTTAAGATTTAGCATGCCCAGAACCCACCTGCCTGTGCTGCAGGGCCAGCCCAGAGGGAATGACCCACCCGTTTGTCCGCGAGGCCACCGAGAAAGATGGGATGCAAAGGTGCCAAAGACCAGGGAGACAGGTGAGGCCTGGCCGGCACAGGAATGAGCCCAGGAACCACCCGGGGAGGCTGCGGGACACCAGGGCCATGCTCTCCAGGCAGCGTGGTTTCTACCTTTTTGGCCTCATCGTGTGGTTGTGGTCTTCGCTCGTTTGCTGTATTGGTTCCGATCCCACTTATATATGGGCCAAAACACAGCAGAGGACACGTAACGAAAGGGGGCTCATACCGAGGAGGGCACACCCAGCTTTCCTGCACGCTTCGGCGATGCCAGCAACGACCGCTGCAGCTGTGCCAACATCAAGTTTCCCGCAGGAAAAATAGTCGAGGAAGAAGAGGGGCTCTGCCCCTTGTGCCAGGATATCGTTCACACACATGGCAACCAAGTCCTGGCCAATGGTACCATGTTGGTTGCACTGCTGGGCAATCTACGGAACAGCAGAAACATCGATGGGACATGAAGCTCCAGATTATAACTTGTCAATTTAGCAGCGGAGGCACAAATGCTCTCAACTTCTGGCCAGCTGCTCTGAGCAATAAAGACAAAGAACACTACATTCTGATGTTACTTGGTCCAAAGTAACCCCTTTGGTCCCCTAAAATAACCCTTCCATCCAGATAGAGCCTCAACATTGTGTTATGAAACATGTCGATATTTTAGTCCTATTGTATGGTTATTGGATGGCTGCTCTTAGTGCTTGTATGTCAAAAGGGGAAAAGTACGTAAATTCTCTCTGTTGCCTGTGAGGCCTTTGTTCACAAAGGTGTCTGATTACCTTCAGTTTCGTGCCAACGCCATCAGTTCCACTGACCAGGAGAGGGTCTTTGAAACCCGCTGCTTTCAAATCAAAAAGACCAGCAAAACCTCCAAGATCCACATCACAGCCTGTTGGGGAGGAAATCCATTTAGTCAATGCATTTCTACAGATCAGGTGAACGCGAGAACACATAACGCTTCTCCATGCCTGTTCAGAGAATGCAAGAGTATCATGTGCTGAAAGCCCAATCGAGAAGTAATTAAATATTAAAGGGACAGACATATCTCATTGAGTTTAACATCATAAATAAGAAATGGGTTTTCTTTTTTTGTTGTTAATCCTCAGCGGAGAATATTTTTCCACTGATTTTTCAGAAAGATTGGAAGGGAGGGGGCGAGTCAGAGAAAGAAACATCGATGTGAGAGACACACATTGACTGGTTGCCTCCTGCACACCCCCTGACCAGGGTCAGGGATCGAACCTGGGACTCTTCAGTCCGCAGGCTGACGCTCCACCCACTGAGCTGAACTGACTAGGGCAATAACAGAGAAAAGAAAGCAGAAAACAATGGGTCTGTCTGGCTTCCAGGGCAACACTCACAGAACCGGGCATCGATTTTGAACATTATCCTTTGAAAACTACAAAGCCCCAGACACTCCAGAGCGTTTGTCCAAGCTAATGCACTAGACAAGGCCCGGATCGGACTCACCTGGTCTGGAGGTGGCTTTGGCTAAAGGCTTAATTTTCTTGACCAGCAGATTTCCAGCTGCAATGTCTACCCCAGAGTCCTTGTACGTCAGGCCCCTAAAGAATTAGAAAAACAAAACCTAGGCCATGACCTAAAAGTCAGGGGAAGTGATCGGAAGCGTAAGCTGTGCACGGCCCCAGGGGAGGACTGCTCTCACTTATTTCCTCCAGCAGCTCCTCGCACAGGGTAGATGCCGACATTGCACCACAGCCTTTCTGTTCAGTGTGGGTGCGGGAAGGAAAGGAGAATCAAAACGGAGTCCAAAAAGTAACATTAGCATTCTAAGAACCGGACAAAGAAATCCCTCAATGAAACAGCTCTCACTGCAGTAAGTAATTAATAATTATTAAGTACTTAATAATGTAAGTTTCCTGATGGCTGAAGACAGTTGAGAAACATGAGAAAAACTATGAAGACAGCACGAGATAATGGTATTCGGTGCACCTCCTTCTGTATCAGGCACACGTGTGGAGCGGTACATGTGGAAACCAAGCGTGACTCGCACTTGGGTTCAGTGGTTGCGCCTTGGCCTCGTGGGATGCAGGGACACGTGAAGAAATAGGTGAGGCTTTGAAAAAGGTGCAACGGAAAGAATATATTTGGTTCCACTGGTTTAAAAAACCTTCATCTTCAGACTGCAGTCCCTGCCCAGCCACTGTGGTTCAGTGGTTGAGCGTCAACCCATGAACCAGGCCTCGGTTCGATTCCCGGTCAGGACACATGCCTGGGCTGTGGGCTTGAACTAGCTCTCCCCCTCCTTTTCTCTCTCTGGAATCAATAAAAACACATTTTAAAAAAGTCCATTAAAAAAAAAAAAAAAAAAAAAGAATTGCAGTCCCTTGAAATAGTTCATTCCAATGAATCTACTCATTTTAAGATAAAAAATAAATTTTTGTAGGGGCGGCCAGGGGATTGTTAAGGGTGGGGGGAAAAAAAGGACACATATGTAATACCCTTTGTAATACTTTTAGCAATAAAAAAAAATAAATAAATTTTTATCATGGTATTTTAATGTTACTTATTTTAAAAAAGCTAGTATTTAAACTATAAAAAAACTTGCCTACAAGTAGCAGTATAGTTTGAAATTTTTAAAAATTAATTTTGTCCTAGAACTTATTTATTTCTCATAGTTGAACTCAAAAAGAATAGTAACTCTGATATACAGTTAAGAAAGCAAAACACCCACACTTGTGATGAAAAGTTTATTGATCTTCACAAAGGAATGGTTGTACACGTCAATTAAATGAATCAATAAAGGTAAAAATCCATTTCAGTGATAAATGTAAATACAGTGACAAAGAAGACTGCCCAAGTGTATAGTTTCACCAAATTAACCCATAAAAATGGATGACGAATAGTTCATCTTGAATTCCTTGACAAAACCAGGAATTATGATAAGCAGCCACATTTAAATATATGATAACTCACAGAATAAAAATCTTTTCCCTAGCTTTACTGATGAGTAACAAATGACTGTATATATTTAAAGTGGACAATGTGAAAAAATCCTTAACATCACTGTTATTTTACTGAACTTTTCAGAGCGAACTACCAGGAAATTTTTTCCATTTCATTTGACTAGTGTTGTAAATGCTTTTGATTCAAACTCAATGCAAATCCAAATCTGATCAGTCCCACGGGGAGAAAAGAGCAGGGACGACTGAGCACAGGGTTAGTGGGACGTCTCCCGCTCTGCCTGCCCGTGTGAGCCGCCGTCCCCGCGGCAGGACATTTACCTGGGCTGCTGGAGGAACGCTATGGCGCGGCTGCCAATGTCCTTCCTGTAGACGGCGCCCTCAAACTTGATGGCAGCCAGTCCTTGCTTGGCCCCTTCGAGGGCTGCGACGAGAGTGTCCCGGATGGCGGTCACCGTGAGGACTCGCCCTCCGCTGGTCACCACTTTGCCGTCTTTCAGGGCTGTGCCTGCCTGGAACACCTCCAGCCCTAAAGCCTGGGCTTCGGCGATGCCTGTAGGACAGCACATTCGGCTCAGTAGCTGCAGTGAAAACATTCTACACTGGGGGGCTTGTCTGTCATTTCCACAGTTTTCTTGAAAGCAGAATCTTTATTTCACTTTAATGAATCCTCACAAGAATCCTACCAGGAAGGCATTAATGCAACATAACAGTAAACAGACACGTTTCCCAAGAACAGCCTGTTCTTGATCACATCTCTTACTTAAAAGTAAAGGAACTTCTCTTATCACAGCTCCCGAGGGAAAGGTGCTCGCTTGCTTGCTTTTTAAAATGACCAACAGGATCACTGCAAGGAAAACACCTCCTTCTGACGGCGTTGGAACCTGCCACCCAGGAGACTCGAGTGCAGTGCAAATGGGGCCCCTTATGGTCATTCCGCGACCATGCGTGTGACACTGATCTCATCGGTGCAGTCACACTAACGTTCTCCTCACCCTCCGAGTCCCATTATCTCCTGGCGCGTGGCCAGGCCCATCCGTCTTTCCTGCCCAGAAAGGGAAATGGATGCAGTCTTCAAACACAGTCATTCTGGATATCTGAACGCCCACATCCAACAAGCAACACGCTTATGAGAAGAGCCCCTGAAAGGCTTCTGACGGCCCACACCCCTAAGAACAGAGGAAATAAAAATAACAGAGCAGAGCCGCACAGCTCGGGAGGGAGCCCGCTGCGGCAGGGCCAGCCTCCGCCCTCCAGCGCTCACCTGCTACCTCCACACCCTTGGCGTAGTCTCCGGGATAGCCCTGACTTGCCATGACGACAGTGATGGCCGCCCGGTTTTCAAGCCAAAGGGGCGGAGCTGCACAGAGCAGGCCGTCCAGGGTGGACTGAATCACCTCATAGAGATCGCTTTTCAGGAGCGGGAGGATCACCTGGGAAACAGTCCGCACAGCAACGGGGAGGAGTTTAGTCTCAGACACGCTGCTCTCTGGCTTCTCGCAAACACGCACACCCAGCTGACCCACGAACGCGGGGCGAGGGGCTCCAACCCCCCTCAAAAGTCCGCATACAGTTTATGACTCCTCAAACCCTAACTACAGTCGCCCCTTGTACCCACAGGATAATGGTCCCAGGACCCCGCCGCAGACTAAACAATCTGTGGATGCTCAAGTCCCTTAGATGAGACGGCGAAGATCAACGCACACAGCCAGCTTCCACATGCGCGGACCCGCAGTCACGCGCTGAAGGTGCTGTTTGGACCTGAGGTTGGTTGAATCTACCCAGGGACAAGGAGGGCTGTGTATTGATTTTTAAAATCTGCATATAAGTGGATTCACACAGTTCAAACCCGTGTTGTTCTGTGTCTGTATTTCTCAAAGGTCATTATCTCAGGCTCATAAGTCCTGGGACTAAAACAACTCACATCTTGTAGAAAGCAATGCTTGGTATTATCTAAAATGATTACCCACCTGGCACTCCGGGTCCCCGAAACGGCAGTTAAACTCCAGAACCTTCGGGCCATCCCTGGTGAGCATCACACCCGCATAGAGAACACCTGCATTCCAAGGGGAACGCTGTAATGAAGGCTCTGCTGTACCCGACACTGAGAATGTAACCTTCTAACACTCAAAGGCGCAGAAGAGCCGTAACAGCCGTTCCGACAGGGCCAACGGAAGGTGTGGAGGAGGAAACGGGAGGCCTGGCGAAGCTGGGAGCCCTGAGCGCCCACAGCCCACAGCGCGCACCTGTGTACGGCGTGCCCTCCTGCTGCATGCCGTCCACTGTCCGCTGAAGGATGGCGTTTTTAATCTTCAGCAGCAAATCCTTAGAGACCTGGGGGACAAGCAAGCATGACAATGTGACTGATATTTAAAAAGGCATCTGGTGAGCCATACCACATGGGACAACGAAAGGGGACAACAAAAATGATCACTTTAAATCCACAAACCTTTAAAATCCCCCCACGGGCCCTATCAATCGGTGTCTGGTTTTATTCCTATGAAACAGGAAAGCTGTCCTCTGAGAGGTAAAAACTACCACAAACAGCAGGGCACCGCTCAGAGCCCTTTGGGAAGACCAGCCATCCCCTGACCCTCCGCGGAGCCAAGACGTACCTGGGGGGCTGGGCAGTAGGCCCCCATCCCGCCTGTGTTGGGGCCGCGATCTCCCTCCAGCAGCCGCTTGTGGTCCTGCGCGGGGGGCATGGGAGCCACGGTCCTCCCATCGGTGAAGCACAGACACTGCACAGAAGACACAATAGTCCACTCACCTTACACCCAGGAAGTGCAAAGTTCATTAACAAGGGGAGCGTGAACCCTAACTTTTCTTAGAGAAAGCTTTCTTTTTTCAAAGTAAAATGAGTTAAAATACAAATAACCCTAACTCAAGAATCAGGTTAGGTAAAAAATCAAGGTCCTCCCAAAATAAAATATTTCAACCTTTCAACATTTGATATAAGTCCAAGTCCCTTACTGAGAACCGGGGATGAGTAAGAGGGTAAATTCTTTCTTCACTCGCATCCCAAATACATCCTAAACACATACGCGTTCCTTTCTTCCTGCCGGGTTTATGCTTTCAGATGAAACACCCGAATAAACCAAGTGTTTTGGGGCCTAGCGGTCAGATAACCTACCTCCCGATCCTCCCTAAAGGTCCAGAGGGTAAACATACTTACAGAAACCTCTTCTCCTTCAAGAAGTTCTTCAATGACAATCGTTTCTCCAGCTGCTCCAAAAGCTTTATCCTTATTGTAGATTAAAAAGTACAGAAGTAAGTTGTAAGCTCTTAACATTTACTTAATTGGCTGTTATTTCCCACCATTTGTACCATGGACCAATGCACTGCTATTGTCACTTCCCTTCCCCTTTCTGAAAGCCTCAGAGGAACCTAGGAATGTTTCCTGCAGGGAGCGGCTGTAGGGTCAAGCCTCGGACTGACCTGTGGCAGAGCCCTCCAAGCACAATTAAGCCTGACCTTATCGTCCTCCCTTGTTCCTAGGCAGCTAATGGGCTGTGGGAGGTGCAGCAAGTGCTGCCAAAACAAGGCTTGAGGAACAAAATAGATTTGAAATTCCCAAGAACGTTGTAAACATGTTGACCACTCCCCTTGTTTTGCTTTGTGTGATCTGATTATAAAATAAAGCTGTGGCTTACAAGCTGTGTCACTGTTTCCTCACCCAGGCACAGTGATCCCACCTGGTCCCAACTGTATTCTCTAGTCTCTCTTCTTTAATCCTTCATCCCCTCCTCAGGTTCATCCCTGGACGTGCTGGACGCAGTTCAGTTTCCCATTTTCATTTATTTATTTATTTATTTATTTATTTTTAAAAAATATATTCCACTGATTTTTTTACAGAGAGGAGAGGGCTAGAGAGTTAGAAACATTGATGAGAGAGAAACATTGATCAGCTGCTTCCCGCACACTCCCCACTGGGGATGTGCCCGCAACCAAGGTACATGCCTAGGACCCTTCAGTCTGCAGGCCGATGCTCTATCCACTGAGCCAAATCGGTTCGGGACAGTTTCCCATTTTTAAAGTGGCAATGATACGGAGCCGGCACAGGTACAGATGAAAGGTAACGGAAAAAGAGATGTCTTCACCTTCTAATTTGACTAAACAATTATTTTAAAGAATGTCTGTAAAAGTAGATTTCTACAAGGAGGGGACCTACAGCAACCAAGATAATCAACAAAGAAAGCGAAGTCCACGAACTCATCGCCTCACTGCTCCGAGATGCAGAGCAGGAAGGGAGGACTCCTGTTCTCGCGCGTGGTTGAGGATTCCCCTGTAGGCTCTACAGCAGTGGTTCTCAACCTTCTGGCCTTTAAATACACTTCCTCATGTTGTGACCCAACCAGAAAATTATTTTCGTTGCTACTTCATAACTGTAATGTTGCCATTGTTATGAATCGTTATGTAAGTATCTGATATGCAGGATGGTCTTAGGCGACCCCTGTGAAAGGGTCGTTCAACTGCCAAAGGGGTCGCGACCCACAGGTTGAGAACCGCTGCTCTACAGGCTGAGGACCACCCACCTCTCAGTAGCAGACAACAAGGGGCGCTAGGACAGAGCCCAGGTTCTGCCATCAGTGCTGAGCGGCCGGACTCTTTCAGAGGCGGATCAGGCACAAAATCTTATGAAAAACAACCTACCTGTGTGCTTGCTGGAAACATCCTCCTTACTGAGAGAAAAGTTTTATAAAATTAAGAGTAGAAATTGTAAGCTTTACCCGGTGCGGCTCAATGATAAGTGTCTCCAGGAATCCCCTACCTGCATGATCTCCTGCACGGCTCTGCAGGCCTCTTCTCTGCTCTCTGCCACGATCACCCCCTTCCCGGCGGCCAGGCCGCTGGCCTTCACGACCAGAGCAGGGAAGTCTGCACTGTGGAGACAGGTTAACCCTCAGCACCACAAACCCTTACAACTCAAACATGTAAGCTGCTCTGGGATTTCGTAATGATATGCTCCAGCAACAGAGGAAAGCAGAAGTTACTGATCATCCTGACGCCATTCTGTACTTCCCAGTTTCCTTACGTAGTCCTTTCTGGTTGTGATCACATGGCACATAATTCCCCTCCCCTCCCCCTCCGCTTATTGTGAGATCGTATTGATGCAAATCGGGTATGGAATCATCTTTCAGAGACAAAGCAGTGAGCCATACACTCATTCAAGTAGAAGATGTGGCTGTGCATGAACTATGTGAACATGGATACGTGGACATTTCTCCAAGGGCACGTGAGAAGCTGTTGCTGGTAGTTTCTTCTGTTGAGGGAGCTGGAGATCTGAACGGACGCTAAGTAACCAAGTCCTTACGAACCCAAGGCACCAGCTACTGGGAAATAACACTCAGCGTCTAAGAGACTCTGTAGGATGTGGAATGAATAGGGAACAAAACTAACTCAACTACTGGGAAATGGAGAACGTACCAGGTCACAGGGAGAGGTGTCGCAAATAAAGGGCAAAGCCAGGCGCCTGCCAACACTCACGGACAAGGATGTCTGATTTTAGGCCCGAGAGTTGAGTAGTGGTGGCACAAGGCCACCAAGTGATGCTTCTTCACTCTGGCTAATTATTAAAAAATCCCACCCTTTCTTTCTTTTTTTTTTTTTTTTTAATATATTTTATTGAGTTTTTACAGAGAGGAAGGGAGAGGGATAGAGAGTTAGAAACATCGATGAGAAACATCGATCAGCTGCCTCCTGCACACCCCCTACCGAGCATGTGCCTGCAACCAAGGTACATGCCCTTGGCCGGAATCGAACCCGGGACCATTCAGTCCGCAGGCCGACGCTCCATCCACTGAGCCAAACCGGCCAGGGCTCATCCTTTATTTCTTAGGTTGTCACTGTATACGTCAAGCAGGAGGCCCGCTGGCCGCGAGTTTGACATGCTTAGCATACATCAACTTGGCTGTGAAAAGAGCGCATGACTGTAAAACCAAGTACTTCTCTTCCCCCAGGGACTACTCAGTGATAAATAATCAACTCACCTTTCTGCCAGGTCGCAGGATCTACTACACACGCAGAGAATTCCATGTTTTTCCGATGTTGGAGAAAGGCAACCAAAACAGAGTGAGCCCCCCCCCCCCCCCCATTATCTCCCAGCCAACGGGCGAGGTAAGCGACCCAGACCTGGGACTGTCATGGGCAGCAAGCGCCCTCCCGGCCAGCCCCTACCTCAGGATGAAGCCGCGGGCCTCCTCGGGCTCGGTGAAGGCTCTCCACCGGGCGGTGGGGATGCCGTGTCGGTCCATGAACTCTTTGGCAAACCTTTTGCTGGACTCTAGCTGAGCCGCCTGTGCTGTGGGGCCAAAGCACCGCACGCCGGCCGCCGCCAGGTCCCCGACGATCCCTACGAGGGAAAGGGCACCTCCGCTGAGCCCGGCCTCCGGGGCCTCTCCACCCTCAAGAAGAACCGGGGTCACAGGAAAGCTCCATGGAGACGAGGCCCATGACTATTGGCGACACTTTCATGTTGTCTACAGAACAGGAACACAAATGCTACAAACGTGACTCAAATCCAGCAGAAGTTTTTATATTCAAATATACGGATTGCTGGATAGGAACATATAAAAACATGTTTCCCGTGGCTGCAAATTCGATTTCTCATTCATCACATTTCTGCTGCTTGAGGAAAAATCAACCTAAAACCCATAAATTTCAAGAGGGTGGAGCACCTTTTCCCAATGTTACATCACATCAGAAACCCTCATCTCCAAAGTGGGCTGGATTCGACGTTCTCTGAGCTCCTCTGGCACGGACACCAGCGACAATATACAAAAACACACTTTACCCGCAGCCAGAGGTGCCTCTGGTCCAACAACCACGAATTCAATGTCCTCCTCTTTGCAGAACTGAGCGAGCGCACTGTGATCGCTGACGGAGATGGCTGCGAACAGAGGAGAGAAACAGGCATCCTCTAAGTGACTGCCATCTGACGACCAGCGCTAAACGCGATCATGCGGGTGCAGACGCTTCCCCGCGGGACAGCTGGAACCAACAAGGCTGAGTTCTCCGCTGTCGCTGCAGCCACTTAGAGATGAAAGACCAGGAAGCGCCCCAAGTACCTTCTCCACTATGCTGTTTGTGTCACAAGTGTTGACTGCAGTCAACAAGCGCGTATCACAGGATACACTCAGAAACTGGTCTTCGAATTTCACTCCTTGAAGATGAGCTGAGGACCGCTATGTGCTGGGTGCTGCCCTAGCGACTGGGTGAAGACGTGAACACAACAGGGTCCCTACATGGAGGATGCTTACGTTCCACTGTGGGCATGTTGGGTAATAAATACTTAAGGAGAATAAAACCCCAGTTATGAACCAAGTAGGCATAGTCGATATGAGGTGAACTGGGACGCTATTCTGGTTGAGTCAGGGAGGATGTCCTTGTGAAGAGATGCTTAAACTAAGAGCTGACTGATTTAAGACTGGGTTCATGTCTACCTGTAAGACAGGTCAGCTTGCTTTGCTGATGGAGTGCTTAGTAACAGGCAGAAGGGCAACCATGCACCCAGCACGGGCGGCTTCCCTAGATTGCTGCTGCTCCCCGGCACCACCCTTATCAGCTGGTGTCGTTAGTCTACACGGCGCGATCCTTGTGATGAGCAGGGACGAGGGTGGAGGACCATGCACGCTGGGGTAGCAGCTGCAAACACCCTGGGCTGAGCGCAGCCAGTGACCTCAGCAGAGCAGAAGGCGCAAAAGGAAGGGGCGCACCTAACCTGCCTTTCCAAGTGGCAGCAGCCTCATGTCGGCTTAGGTGTCACCTGCCTGCATGACATCAACTGCTTCTGAAGGAACTGTGCCAGTTCTCGAGCAAGAAGACACGAGATCTCACCCCGACCTAAGATCCCAGGGAAGCAGGCATTTTCTTATTGTTTCGTCTTATTTTTGGTCCTATGCATGCAACCATCTTCTCCCAGTCTGTGGCTGGTTGGGTCACGGGCATCTCTCCATACATACCGTGTGCCACCTAGGGTACAGGCATGGTGCACACAGTGCAAAACCAGACAGGTGAGTTCCTTGCCCTCATGTGGCTTATGTTCAAAGGCTTAGGTTCTAGGGAGGAAATGAAGATAGAAGACAGACAGCAGGAAAGTAAAAATAAATACAATGGTTCACAATTGAAAACAAATAAAATGGGGTGAACATGCTGTAATTGGGAACTGTAGGAAAGGTCTCTTTGAGAGGTAACACGTAAGCTGAGACCTGGACAGAGGAGCCAGTCATGCGAGGGGTGGGAACGAATACAAAGACCAAGGCAGCTCTGCTTGGGAAACTGGCAGGACTGCATGGATGGAGCAGCGAAAGGACACAAAAGATAGAAAAGATCAGGCTGGGAAGGCAGGCAGAGGCCAGATCACAAAGGGCTTTGTAAGGAAGTCGGGGAGGTTGGTTTTATTCTAAGCCCTATGGCAGTGACGGCGAACCTACGACACGCGTGTCAGAGGTGACACGTGAACTCATTTTTTTGGTTGATTTTTCTTTGTTAAATGGCATTTAAATATATAAAATAAATATCAAAAATATAAGTCTTTGTTTTACTATGGTTGCAAATATCAAAAAATTTCTGTATTTGACGTGGCCCCAGAGTTAAGTTAGGGTTTTTCAAAATGCTGACACGCCGAGCTCAAAAGGTTTGCCATAACTGCCCTAGAGGAAGCCACTGAAGAGTTTAATGTAACCTAAGACGTGGTCATTTTTTACTGGTTGAAGACATAAAGCTTGAGATCTATTATGGAGCGAGAATTGTCAGAACTTACATTTAATAGCATTGCTCAACTTTTTTAATAAATTGATTTCAGAGAAGAAGGGAGAGGTAGAGAGAGACAGAAACATCAATGATGAGAATCACTGATTGGCTGCCTCCTGCACGCCCCACACCGGGGATCAAGCCCGCAGCCCAGGCATGTGCCCTGACCGGGAATCAAAATGTGACCGCATAGTTCATAGGTCAATAGGTCAACCACTGAGCCAAGCCAGCGGGAGTGGGTTGGGGGCATCGCTCAACTTTTTATGTCCAAAAATATACATTAAAATGCCTTTAACCTATATTAGGCACTTGTGACTTTAATGCATGTGCTTTATAAGGTTTAAAATAATTTCAGATAAGGAAATGCTACACTCCAAACAACAGAATACCTTAAATTTACAATAGATGGCAAGTATTCAAATCACCCCACAGGTTTTAAGGTTAAGGAAAGCATTCAAATCTGAATAGCAACTGACCTTACAAAGCACAGATGCAGCTGACAGTTTACCATTTATAATTATTAATTACACTCCCCACTTGAAAACATGATTACCAGTGTTTGAAATCTTCCCAGAGTCGGCAGTGCCTGCATTCCCGGGGGCGACCAACACCTGTTTGACGTGACGAGACTGCGCCAGTTTCCAGGCCAGCGTGTGCTCTCTGCCCCCATTGCCAATGACAAGCACTCGGGCAGCCATGCTGTCTGCAGCAGGACTCCAGCAGGAAAGTGCAGCTGCAGGAAGACCACAGTGACACGTCAGGGTGCACACGCCTTAGGGATCACAATTCCTAATCACGATGTATACCCCCGACTCGCTTGTGGAACATTAGGATTCGTAACTTGACAAATACGGCTGTATTCCTAAGATATTAGGGAGGATTTTAAAAACGAGGCAGACTGGCTAGAGAGCCAAGTTAAGGAGTGAAATGACAAGTTTACTCCTTATTTGATTAAAAAACAAAAAAACTCCGTGAACAGTAACCCTTCTGTAGGCTTCACTTGTAGAAGCTGGAGTAATCACCCAGCCTCAGTTAGAAATGAACCGATGTTTAGACCAGAGTTTACAGTGACTGCTTTTAAATCTTGACAATAGACGTTGAGGGCCATAGTCTCTGCCACAGTACTGAATTCTGCCGCTGCAGCATGAAAGCAGCCATGCACGCGTAGGTAACTGTGGCTGCGTCCAGGGAACTTACAGAACAGGCAGGGGGCTCTAGGCCGTAGATGCCTCGCTCTCCTCTCAGCTGTAGGAGGCGATCAGAGGCTTGGAAAGAATAACCATGGCTGGGCTTCAGTAACTTTAGGCATAGGCATGGCCATGTGAACTTCATACTTTTCACGTGCCGTAGAAACATGCTTCCTTTTTTTTCACCCACTTAATGATGTAAATTCTATTCTTATTCAGTGGCTGTACAAAACCAGGTGACAGGAAAGACTGGCACAGGGGCCATAGTTTGCTGGCGCCTGACTTAAGTAGTGCAATGTTAGAAAATTTGCAGAGATGGCAAAATCAGATTTGAACCCATCTCACGTTAGCCTGGCATTTGATTCTAAGTGCGACAGCTACCTCTCAACTGAAGTTAGCAGTGAGATCTTGGGTGAGCTCTATTGTACTTCAATTTCTTCACATCTGAAAACATGCCTTACAAGGCTACGCAAGAATGAACTGAAATAACATTTATATAAACAATTAGCACAATTTCTGACATTCAGCAGCAGTAAATGCTACCTTGTTATATTTTATTGCCTACTTTTATCTAAATTAATACTTTAGGGATAGAAATAAATTTTAACAGAAAAAAAGCCAAAAAACCAAATAATTTGTCACACGAATGTACTAATTTCCAGAGGCATTTAATTATGTAGAAAGCAAACTGATAACAGGAAACAGAGAACTGCCATTTTTAATTTCTTACATGATGCTAGGATTACACATTTCAGTAAAAATCTAAGCCCTGGGCGGTTGCTCAGTGGTTAGAGTGACCGTCTGCGCACTGAAGGATCATGGGTTTGCTTCCCCCATGTAGCTCAGCTGCACCAATGGATGTGTCTCTATCACATTTCCAGACTCTAAAAATCAGTGGAAAAATACCCTCAGGTGAGGATTGAAAAATAATCTAAGCCGATGATGCTGTATTCCAAATGCTTATCATGAATTAATCTTCATAAATTTATTTATGAATATCTGCTGTACAGATAAGAAAGTGAGGCATTAGCCCTGGCTGGTTTGGCTCAGTGGCTAGAGCCATCCGCCTGTGGACTGAAGGGCCCTGGATTCGATTCCTGTCAAGGGCACACACCTGGGTTGCAGGCTCAACCTCCAGTGGGGGGCGTGCAGGAGGCAGATGACCCATAATTCTCTCTCATCATTGATGTTTCTCTCTCTCTCCTCCCTTCCTCTCTGAAATCAATAAATATATATATATATTAAAAAAAAGTGAGGTATTAGGTAGGTTAGGCAACTTGCTGAAGGTCACAGGGTTAGAGGGGGTGGACCCAGGATTGCAACACGAACAATTTCCCATCAGATACTGTAACAATTGAGATGGTAATCAATGAAAACCCGAGGAAGAAACAATTTCTGGATTATCGTTCCCGAGAGGGGAAAGCTGTTGTAGTGTAACGGGAATCACAGACTGGCCACGTGGATGGAAACATCTGAAATACACATGGCTTTACATTTAGCTTGAATAAGAGAGTCCACACCGGGCGAGGGCAGGGGGCCTCAGCCACAGCCAGGGCCTCGGTTTGGGATGAAACTGTCCCCTTCTAGCTCGACACCTTGCGGACTTGCCCTTCTGGGGCCTCGGAGTAACAAACGAGACAAGAGCCAGGTGAGCCTGGGATGGACTCGGGAGGAACACAAAGTCGAAAGCAATTGCAAAAGCGCACCCATCGGCCAGAGCATACAATGGCTGCACAACAACAACGAAATGCAATTCAGGTTCACAGCCTAAAGCGGCAGGAGAGTACAAGGCCCGCGCCTCGGAGAGGAAACGGGGTGGATCCGCTGCGAGCCTCCGCTCCAGGGAGAAAGCAGACGGCCACCCCCCACCCGCGGCATTTACGATTCAAATGCGGTTCCTGCAGCAGAGCCCCTTCCCACGAGTTTGAGCCAGTTCCTGACGCGAGACCCCACCCCCGGCAGAGATGTACTTTACTGATGGCGGAGAGGGCTCGCGCACCGACGCGGGGCACCGACACGGGGGACCGGGCGGTCTGCACGCCGCGCTCACACGCGCGCCTCGCCGGAAGTGGGCCGAGGGCGAGCCCGGCGCCGGCCGCCCGGGCCCCGCCCACCCGCGGGGGGCCTCGCCTCCCCATTGGCCCGCGCGCGCCGCGGTTCCTCCCGCGAGGAGTGGGGGCGCGAGGCCCGGGCGCTCTGGGGCGCGGCCCAAGGCGGGCGAGCAGCCGCCGGGCTGGCGCGTTTGCAATGTAACACGGCCGCGTGCAGGGCCGCCCGGCGTCTCTGCGCCTCCCCGGGAGCCTCGGCTCCGAGCGGGGAGCGCCCGAAACGCCAGCCGCGCGTAGCTAATGATCCGTGGCTCCCGAGTCAGGACGGCCTGGCTGCTGACCAGAATGCACCGGGCTTTGGACGCAGGTCGCTCACGACCTCCGCCTATTGCTTCACCAATTCCCCACCGACTATCGGGTGTCACGGGAGGTGGGGGGGGGGATCGTGTTCTTCGCGTTGCCTCACTGCAGGGGCGGGCGCTGGGGGTGCTTTCCCGGATACGGGTCCCTGCTGCAAGCCCTTGGGAATGAACGTGGGGGGCCCTGTCGAACGCCACGTCGCCCTTCTCGGTCCCTTCCCTGACGCCGCTTAACCTCGGGCACTGAGCGGCTAGCGCCTCTTAGGCCCCCCAACACCGCTGCGGGTTGACAAAGTCGCCTCCAGAGGCTGCTCCTGTAATGGCGCCTGCGTCACTCACTAACATGGCGGCCAGGGCCGTGCGCGGCGCAAACGTCAGCAGCTCTCCCCCGGCGGCTCAGAAACAGCGGAGGAGAGCCGGGCCGTGCGCTCTGATTGGCCCTGAGGCGGAGCGTGCGGCGCCCAACGTTCCCACATCAGCCAATCAGAAGGGCGGCACACGGAATTGGCCGCTGCGCCCCCTCCCGAGGCATTCTGGGAGCCTGGAGGACTAGCGAGGAGGAGTTGAGAGAACGGAGCGGACGCCATGGCGACCAACATCGAGCAGATTTTTAGGTCTTTCGTGGTCAGTAAATTCCGGGAAATTCAACAAGAGCTTTCCAGGTAGGCGCTCTCCAGCCTCTTCTGCTCCCCAGGGACGGGCGGGGCCCCGCGTAGGGCACCTTTATCCACAGTCGCCGTCGTTCCTCGCCTCGGGCCCCGCTACGGCCCCGCCTGGGCCCGGGATCCATTTTCCGCCCTCCGCCCTCCCCCCCCATCCGCTCCCTTCCCAGCGCGGAACTTCGCCCTTTCCACCGTCGGCCCGGCTCCCTCTGCTGGAACCGGGCACAGACGCTCGCCCCGCCGCTGGGTGATCGCCCCCGACCCTTCCGCGGCGGTGGGCCTGGTCGTGCGCCGAGACGGCCTAGTTCCTCTTCGGCTCCTCCTCCGCCTCGCGTCTCCCCTCCCCCCCCCGCAGCCTCCGCCGATTTCGCCGGCCGGTGCCCGCGACCGGAAAGGGTCTCTGCCGGCCGAGGCTTGAGTCAACTGAAATCCGCTTTGTCCTGCCAGCTTCCGACCATCTCGGGGTCGGGATCCTCTAATTAGATTATTTGGGCCCTAGTGCACTGTGCCTGCCACCAGGCAGCGTTCTCCTCGACTAGGAATTCAAATTAAAACATCCCGATGACACAATATTCGAGGTAAGGGTGGAAGGGGACTCTCCATTACGAGCCACTTCTTAATTGAGCAAGTAGACGGTGGGCTTTGTGTGTACGAACACGTTTTTATTTGCTCCCCTTGTCCCCATGGACACATTTGAATAACTCGTTGCTTTTGCCATGGCTGGTGGACTCATGTCCTCGGTTCCACAAAATTTAAACTGGAAGAGATTGCCAAAGAAATAGTTGTTTACTCAGAAAGGAAGCTAGCGTGGGGCATGCTGTCCACTGGCTGGTTGTCTTCGTGTTTTGGGGTTGTATAACGTATTTGTTGCGAGTTCAAACGTTTTTGCTAGTTGTATTTTACGAGTTAAGAGCGAGAGTAATACGTGAATTTGAAAATCAGCCGGAAACGCAGTTGTAAATTAAGTGTTCAAATTAACATGCAGCTATTGGGGCAAGGATATACATATATAGTATCGTCAGGACCATTATTTTTACAGGACGTTTGGGTTTTTTTGGTTTTTTTTTTAAGTGGGAAACATACCCGTTCATTCAATTCGTTCCTTTTTAAAATTTTGTTATTACATGCTTGTGTTTTTAGGGTGATGAGAAAATATTTGAGGTAAGGGGAGATGTTTTTTTGAAAACTTTAATAGTCATGCAAACAAGTAATTGCATTTGCTTATTGTAATGTCTTCATGCCTTCAAGAAATCAGTTTTTATTAGAAAGTCAGTTTGGTTGTAAAACAATTTTGGAAAAATTTTAAAACCTCTACATAGTCATTGATGTGTCGCCCCCCCCCCCCCCCCCCATACAGAAGCACATACATGTTTTGTGAAATGTGATCATCTTGTTTAGTGTTGATTTTTCACCGAAGAAATTGTGAACAAGTT